GATGTGGTGGTGGTGTGTTAGTGTGTGTTGCGCTGGTCTGAGTGGATCAGCAGTGCTGCTGGAGTTTTTAAACACCTCAGTGTCACTGCTGGACTGAGAATAGTCCACCAACCAAAAACATCCAGCCAACAGCCTCCTGTGACCACTGATGAAGGACTAGAGGATGACCAACACAAACTGTGCAGCAGCAGATGAGCTATCGTCTCTGACTTTACATCTACAAGGTGGACCGACAAGGTAGGAGTGTCTAATAGAGTGGACAGTGAGTGGACACAGTGTTTAAAAACTCCAGCAGCACTGCTGTGCCTGATCCACTCGCACCAGCGCAACACACACTAACACACCACCACCATGTCAGTGTTACTGCAGTGCTGAGAATGATCCACCACCCAAATAGTACCTGCTCTGTGAGGGTCCATGGGGGTCCTGACCACTGACGAACAGGGTGAAAGGGGGCTAACAAAGTGTCAGAGAAACAGATGGACAACAGTCTGTAACTGTAGAACTACAAAGTGCACCTATATAGTAAGTGGAGCTGATAAAATGGACAATGAGCGTAGAAACAAGGAGGAGAAGGCTGTTTCTGCTGCTTATATGTCCATATATGGACTGTGTGTAGTGGGGAGTGGACAGCAGGTTTATAAATGAGCTGAGATCGCGCCGAGAAACTAGTTTATCCAGTCTGGCAGTGATTCAGTCCTGTTTACCTGTAAACTCTGCGCCTTATTTTGAGCGAGTGTGTCAGGCGCTCGTTCTCCGCCTGCTGGACTGTTCTAGTGGTCCCGCTGGTCGTGTGTGCTGAGAGGAGCCCGCTGTGAACCTCTGGGTGAGTAAGGGGTAAAACAGGAGCTCAGGCGGCTGATTATGTTTAAGACTGGGTCTCTGGATTAACCCCTCCTCACTGCGTCACCCGCTCTGTTCCTACACCGCGCTGCTTTCCTTTCCCACCCGTATTCAGACACGCCCGCCCTCCTGCGCTGTGATTGGCTAGAAGTGCACCGTACATTCTCATTATTCCACAGGCTTCATCACTCATTGTGTGTTTTTAATCCAAAAGGATGATTTAATGAAGCTAAAAACGATAACATAATATGTTCGATGCTAAATGATGATCTGAAAAGATTTCTGATATCTTAATTAGGTGTAATTAAAGGGAAACTCCACCGATTTTTCAGAATTTGTGTATTATTAAGTGATTAAGATGTAAATAAAGGCATTCAGAGCGGTTTTGGTGTGAAACACTCTGTAGTAGAGAAACTTACTGAGTCAGAACTGTTCACAGTGGTGGTGATAGGAACCAGACGTCCACCTCTAAAAGCTCCCTCACAGAAAGTTACTACAGGAAGTGGTTAGATACACGCTCTTAAAAAAAGAAGGTTCTTCAAGGGTTCTTTAGTAGGGAATGTATAGAACCATGAACACTCAAAGAACCATTTGCATGATTAAAGCATTGTTCGCATCATGAAAGTGTTCTTCAGATCGATGGAGAAGGTTCTGTGTATGGTTCTACATAGAACCTTTTTGAAAAGGGTTCTATATCGCACCAAAAAAGGTTCTTTAATCCATTCGTGGGGGAGGGATACATGCAGGGTGTTGTGAGGCAAAATAGTCCCCAAAGAAAACCTTTTATTTTCAGATTTATCACTATTTTACCGTCATCAACATTACATATAAACACTCAGAAGACTCGTGTGGATTTAGACAGTAAATAAAGTGGCTATATCTGTGTTGTAGCCATGGCGACTCCTGGTTCCCATCACCACCACTGTAAAGAAATCTGAACCTCACACCAAACCACTCTGAATGACTCTGTTTACATTTCAGTGGCTGGTTTATGCAGATATCTGCTAAAATCTGTGTGATTCCATATTTAAAGCACACACCTAAAACCAATAATGAAACCCGGTGTTACATAATTTGTTGTTTGTATCAGGAGGATCTGAGAGATCACAGACATTCCAGCGACAGCATCGTCAAACAGAAAGATCTAAATCACTGTACTGGGTTCACAGGTGGTTCTGGACAGTAAATAAAATGTCTATATCTGTGTTGTAGACACTGTGACCCCTGGTTCCTATCAGCACCACTGTAAAGAAGTCTGAGTCTATAAGTTTCTCTACAGTGAACTGTTTCACACCAAACCACTCTGAATGAATCTGTTTCCTTAAGGACTAAATTATTCAGAAATTTTGAAAAAATTTGAAAAAAATGGTGGGATTCCCCTTCAGGAGACTTGGAAAGATCTGGACAGATTGGAATGACTGAACTGACTGTGGTGTTATATTATTAAACTCTCTATAAGCTCTTTATACTGCGATTCAGTGAAAGATTTTGGTCAGATTTTTAAATGACGTTATTGACTCTGACTTTCTTTCTCCAGGGTATGTTTTGGTTTGTCCATCTGAATTTTCATGACCAAATCGTAAGGCAAATTATTCAGTAACTGCATGAAATAAATGTAAATTTTTGTTTTATTTATTTATTTATTTGTTTTTAAAAAGCTCCCCTCAGATTAACAGAACCTGTTTTATGATCACACATATTGCTACATGCTTACAATTTACTGCTGAAAGCCAAAAATCTCAGACGCTCTTTGTATTATTTTATAAAAGTAATTTTTACAGAGCAGATCACTGAAGAGACGCCATCTGTTTATAGTTTATAGCCCAGATTTGTGGAAAAATGGGTCGACTTTCAGTAGAAAAAAAAATTCAGCTTCTTTTATTATAAGGGTTTAAAATGACATCACCCATCTATTTGACTGGAGAGAAGACAGTTACAGCTCTCATACAACCCCCACCTTTTGAATGTAGCTTATGAAATATGAAAGTTATGAAGAACCACTGGTGGTCTTGAGGGGTTAAAAAGGTTAAAAAAAAACATGCTCACTTTCCCTCTTAGCTGAATTTCACATTCTTCAGTGTGAAGTTCATTAATGTTTGTTCAGTGTTGAGCAGGATGTTTATGATAAATATGTTTTTATTCTGATGATGAAAAAAGCTGAGAGGACTGTGGATGTTGGTGGACGGTGGGGATGTTTGTGCAGCTGCTCCTGGCTGCGTCTGTCTGTTTTGTGCATTTATAATTATATGTACTGTAAACATGAATCATCTCCTCCTAAGCTGTGGCGTTTATTGTTCAACAACACTTAACCAACTGCACACGTACACTTAAAGGGTAATTTAAAGGGGGAATCCTACTGATTTCTCAAAGAACCGGCATAATTCAATGATTAAGATGTAAACAGAGTCATTCAGAGTGGTTTGGGGTGAAACGCTCTGTTCTAGAGAAACATACAGAGTCAGAACTGTTTACAGTGGTGGTGATAGGAACCAGACGTCCACCTTTAAAGGCTCCCTCACAGAAAGTTACTACATGAAATGGTTATGAATGTATGTGTATGAATGCACTGTTGAAAGGCTGAGACATTGTTAAGGATGGTTTAGAGAAGGTTTGGGCTGAGGGTTAGAGAGTGAGGCAAACAAAGAAGCTGCTGGTGTTTCTCAGAACGATGGACTGACCAACTCAGAGTCCAGACCTCAACATCACTGAATGGGTTTGGGATTATTTGGATGGTCAGAAGGAGAAAATGTTAAACCAACTTCTAAGACAGAACTTTGGAGGTGTAACATCCCTGCAGATTTCTCTGAAACGCTGAAAGTGAGTCTCCTAATAAGAATGGAAGCTGTAATAAAGGTAAAGAGTGACCCAACACTGAAAAACGGATATTATATCTAGTTGTTGAGGATTTCATGTAATTTTCCATTAAATATCTGTTTTCCACTTTTTTCTGACATTGAAAAATGAATAACTTGTACTTCATTTCAGTTTTGTCCGGAAAATTAAATAAATGAAGGGATGTTTCTGATTTCTGCCCAGTAAGGGGGCAGTTGTGGGCTGGAGGTTAGGGAAACAGCCTTGTGACTGGAAGGTCACCAGTTTGATCCCTAGAGCTGACAGTACAAGACTGAAGTGCCCTTGAGCAAGGCATCTAACCCCCAACTGTTCCCTGGGCGCTGTGGATAGGGCTGCCCACCGCTCCGGGCAAGTGTGCTCACTGCCCCCTTAGTGTGTGTGCGTTCACGAGTGTGTATGTGGTGTTTCACTGCACAGATGTGTTAAATGTGGAGGTGAATTTCCCTGTTGTGGGACTAATAAAGGGTAACTTAAAGTTAAGTACTGCAAAAATGTCTGTTTTGAAGTCATCGTTTTTGTGCCATCACAAAAAAACAACACATTTACATATATTCACAGCAGTTTAGCCCCACCCACTCACACTGAAGTTACAGCAGGACTACATTTGTGCAGAATTTGTTTATTTATTTCTTAATTTTATTTATTTATATTTTTATTAATGTTTTGTGTTATGTAAATAATTGTACACTGCACTGCGATTATTGTTTGTACTTTGTTTGAAAAATAAAAAAATATAGAAATTTTGTGTAGAATGACGTGCAATACAGGGCAGCCAATCAGAACAGAGGTCATTCATAACCAGTCTTAAAGGCACAGTCCATCGCAGGGCAGACAGACAAACGGACATACACACTCACACACACACACACTCACACCTAGGGGCAATTCAGCATGTCCAGTTAGCCTGACTGCATGTCTTTGGACTGTGGGAGGAAACCGGAGAACCCGGAGGAAACCCACGCAGACACAGGGAGAACAGGCAAACTCCACACAGAAAGGACTCCGGTCGCCCGGCTGGGAATCGAACCCAGGCCCTTCTGGCACGGTAACAAAGTAGTTTAACTTTAAGGGATAAAGAAGGTCAGAAAGTGCTCATGCAAATATGAATCGGGACTGTTTTTCGTTCATAAAGCCACAATAACGTTATAATTGGACTTATATGGAAAAAATAAAGAACAAGGAAAATACAGAACCTGGGCCCTTTAAACTGGATGTAGGTGGGGTTTGCCTGAAAACGGGTGGGAATTGAAAAAAAAAAAAGAGTAGGGCGTTCCCTGCTTTAAGCTCCGTGTGAAATCCTCTAATCGTCACCTGACGTTCCGCCTCATGCTCCGGCGGCGCTGTGAAAGCCTCATCTCCTCCTTTTCACACTTCCCATGTCTTTAATTTCATTTTCTCTTCCACATGGCGGAGCTTAGAGTACGAGAGGACGTTGTGAGTATTATTTTGATACCGAGCAACGAGCATGGGCCGTTTTTTTCGGGAAGACTTCAGTGGTTTAACTTCGGTTCTCCCTTTAAAACGAACAAACAGGACTTACAGCAGAGAAAACAGCGCCTTTTTATGATAGAGATAAACGGAGGGGGTGAAATAAAGGCTGGGCTGGTGATTATTTTAGCTCCGAGATCCTGTAATCTCTATTTCACCAAGTTGAAGTTGGCTTCTCACTCGAATTTTCCGTTCCACCTTAAATGGTGCGGCAGCTACGTTCTGGCGCCTCGGGCCTCATCGACCAGAGTGTAGCTGCTGCGCCATTTAAGGTGGAACGGAAATTTCTAATAAGAAGCCAACTAAAGCTTCGTCTGTGAGAGTTTGTGCTTCATGTTCTTGCTGTGCTTCGTCTCACTCTTCATCTGTCGTGTCCACAGAGGTCAGGAACACCCGGGAAAAGGCTGGACAGTCCGTTTGGGGACCCCATGCTTGTTTCCCCCAGCAAAGATGAGCAGCAGCTGCTGGTAAATATACATAATCCCTGTGTTTGTGTGTGTGAGTGTGGATGTGTTTGTAGTTGACATATTAAAGTCAACCTGAAACAAAAAAATGACCTTTTTTACCTCACTAGTTCGTGTCCTCTGGTCATATTGAGCTCGATTCATCATTTAAAAGACACAATTCTTGTTTTTCTTCTAATCTTACATCTAAATGTAGTGACTTTTGCCCCGCCTCTAAAACATCTCCTGTAAAAACACTATATAACTTTATAATTAATACAAATAATCATAAAAAACAGTAAACTGTAACAGGAATTTGCTCCTAACAGCGCTAACAGATAATACTTTTTGGCTGTTCTAGATCAAACACAGACATTTGAAGCTTATAAAAGACACTCCATATGTTTTGCAACAGGTAACAACTTATATTTTACTGTGTGTCTGTCATTTTTACAGCGATTCTTTCAGTAAAGAGCCCTGGCGGCTGCTGCTTTCCGTTCCTAACAACTAACTGAAACCTTGTTAATCTAGCATTTTTAATCATAGTCAGTAATGTAACTTCCAGAAAGTCTAGAGTGACATTTGTTCCTTAAAATTGAAACATGATTAGTTGATTCTGCTGTCAGTTCCTCATTACGTTTGTAGTTAATCTAACATGTAAGGCCTTCAGTTCAGCTCCTGAAGTCCTAACCAGTGGGAGGGCTCGCTCGTCCGTATCTGCCTAGATACCACAGAGAAAAAAACCCTGATTGGACAATTTTCCTTGGGGCGGTTCAAGAATGTAAATCTTTTGTTTCTAATCTAAACTTAAAAATGAATTAAGAGCATCACTGTCATGTGTGCATAGTTTAAATACAATAATCTTGATGGTTCTGCTAAATAATAATAAACAAAAATGTATAGATGTGTATTTTTTTTCATTTAACAGAAATCTAGGCCTTCTCTGAAGGCCCTGTTCTGCCACAAACACAGGAAAACTAACTTGTGTATGTGTTGTTGGACAGGCAGTGCCGTTCTGCGGCAGTATAAAGGGTGGGATGCGACCAGGGAAGAAGATCACCATCATGGGCATTGTGGGTCCAGAACCAGACAGGTGAGACCCGCGCACTCCCGCAGAGCTCGTCACAAGGCGCGGTGATGTCACACCCAGACAGCTGATGTTATCTTTTTACGGCAGATATTTTTACTCGTCTGTGGTTTTGTGATTTGGATCTTTCTGTTTGACGATGCTGTCGCTGGAATGTCTGTGATCTCTCAGATCCACCTGATATAAACAACACATTATGTAACGCAGGGTTTCATTAGTGCTGTTAGGCATGTGCTTTGAGAGGGGAATTACACACATTTTTAAAAGATATCTGCATAAATCAGCCACTGAGATGGAAACAAACATTAGCCTTACTGATAATCCATTAATAATCCGACTAATAGTTCAAGCGGAATAGAATACGTCCATGTAAACACCTTAGTCAGAATAAACTAGTCTGATTGAGGCCATTCAGATTACAGTTCCTATCCAATTGAACGAGGTGGGTAATCCTGTAAATAATCCGTTAAATAGAAGAATAATATCCGTGTAAACGCCTGTATCTGATTACATTCCCTATCGGAAAGTTTAAGTCCGTTCTGATCATGCGCGTCACGTCATAGTGAAAGTTTATACCGTTCAACATGGCGGAGCAGAAACTGGTCTGCAGAGGAGACGAAGTTTATGCTCTGATCCTTAAAAGACGGCGGTGGGACGGACGTCCAGCTTATGTGTCTCAGAACACTCAGTCTTCCTCTCGGCCTTCTTTAATAAGGACGTGTGAAGGACGTTTTCCTGAGTCCGACATCATTTTAAGGTCATTAAAAACACAAGCACTGCTCACTGCTGCTCATCTCACTCTGACTGGACTCGCGTGATGCTCGTTGTCATGGTAACGTCTACACTAAGTGGTGCTCTACCTATTCATGCGTGTAATTTTGGATCTGATTACTTGTAGTGTGGATGTAAACGGAGGTTTTCCATCAGACTGTTGAGTAGAGTGAGAATATAAACACCTCAGTCTTAATCTATAATCGGAATGTATTCAGTCAGGTTGGAATAAATCTTTACATGTAAATACAGCCAGTGAGAGAGGTTTAATATAAAATGGTTCACTGTAGAGATGTGGCCTTCCGCCCAATGACAGCTGGGATAGGCTTCAGCACCCCACCACGACCCAGAAGGATAAGCGGTTTAGATGATGTATGTATGTATGTATGTATGTATTTATGTATGTAGAGATGTGTAGAGAGACTCCTTACAGATGTCTTTACAGTGGTGCTGATAGGAACCAGGGGTCACAATGTCTACAACACAAATATAACCACTTTATTTACTGTCCAAAACTACCAGTGAACACGTGTCTTCTGAGTGTTTATATGTGATGACTCATATTCTTTAGGTTATATTGAGTTAATGAGTGATTAGATTAGTAGCTGTATAATTGCTGAACATTTGTTCCAAACTGTATTTCTATTTTTTTCCTGAAACATAAGTTATCGGTTGTAACTCCAATATTCCAGCTGTAACTCTTTTATTGGCATCATTGAGCTACGACAATAAGATTTTCACATTTTTCTGAAAACGGTTTATCATTTGCTGTGTCTTGTATATACATTGCAATTCTGTGAACTACGAGTGATTCTGATTGGCTGGTCCTGGTGCACTCTCTCCTCTGATTGGTCAGTTTTGACATCAGTCTGACGTGTGGCTGTGGTGATGTGGCTCTGGAGCTCAGCGCGAGGTTTGAGGACAAGCAGCTGCTGAGAAACGCTCACGTCTCAGGCTCCTGGGGGGAGGAGGAGACCGCCATTCCGTTCTTTCCCTTCATCCCACACCAGCCGTTCAGGGTAAATATGCCATCGACATCACGTCTGTGAAGGTTTTCAGTCGAACAGGTCGCTGAATTCTGGTAGTAGTAAGTCGAGGCGACCGGATTCGTGGATAAAACTTGAAGACATTTCACAGCTTATCAGAGGAGCTTCATGAAGGGAGTTCTGAAACGTCAGGAACACAGCAGTCGCCTTGACTAACTACTACACAGTCCAGCCCCCCAGCATCGCTCTGATCACTGGGAGCACAAATCTGTGATTGGATTCAACTGAATGATTCGATTTGATGATGGTTGATGATATATTTCATTTGTTCATTCATTAATTCATACATACAACCTGAGAATTTTATATTGGCCAAAAAATTGTGCATAAACTGTTGAATAACAATCAATTCTTACATTCCACAGTTCAAGGAGCTGCGCTTCCCATTCCGATCAATGCTTTTTTACATTTTTATTGTCATTACTCTAATAATGTGACTTGTGTAGTTGGATATATTACGGTGATGTAATTTCTTTCTTATTTTGTGTCCAGTTGGAGATCCACTGTGAGCACCAGAGGTTTCGTATACTCGTCGACGGTCAGCCGCTTTTTGACTTCTATCACCGCGTCCGCTCTCTGCTGGCCATCGACACCATTCAGATCAGCGGCAGTCTGACCATCACCAAACTCAACTGAGGAGAAAAAACCCATCAGCATTTTGCTCACCAGCCTGAACAACAGTGCAGTACAGAGCACACTGGGCCTTTGTCAGTCTAAAGCTGTGCACTGTCAGCCTCCGTTATACAGCCACAAACAGCTCTACAATCTCTAGAGTTCTAGAACTCTCAGAAAGACAGCTCTAGAACGCATATATAGAGAGTTCTACAGCTGTCACAGAGTTAGTTCTAGAATCTCTAGAGTGCCACAATTCCCAGAAAGCTAGTTCTAGAATATCTAGAGTGGTAGAGCTCTTAGAAGGTCATCCCTAGACTTTCTAGAGCCCGTTCTAGAATCTCTAGAGTTCCAGAACTCTCCGATAACCAGTTCTAGAACTCTGAAATGGAATTATACAACTCTAGATTGAGTTGAGACAGAACCCAGAGATCTCTAGAATGTCTAGAGCTCTAGAACACTCAGACAGTCTAGAACTTGAGAAATCCATATCTGGAATCTCTAGATTTTTCAGATAGCCAGTACTAGATTCTCTAGAGTTCTGAATATTCTAGAACTCTGAACTGGAATTCTACAACTCTAGATTGAATTTAAGACACAACCTAGAGATCTCTAGAATGTCTAGAACACTCAGACAGTCTAGAACTTTAGAAATCCATATCTGGAATCTCTAGATTGGATTTAAGACAGAACCTAGAGATCTCTAGAATGTCTAGAACACTCAGACAGTCTAGAACTTTAGAAATCCATATCTGGAATCTCTAGATTTCTTCAGAGAGCCCGTACTAGATTCTCTAGAGTTCCTAATTGGAATTCTGCATCTCCAGGTTGAGTTTAGGACAAAATGTTTCTCCCACCTGATTTTGTTTGGTTGAAAGTTAATAATAATCAGAGTGGAGGGTGGGAGGATTGGAACCAGGGCTGCAGGACATGGACAGAATACTAGTATTGCGATGATATTGGTACACATTCAGATTGCGCTTGTTGGAAAATAGTTTATTTGTAAATTTAATTAGCTAATTGACCAAAATTGTACTTTTGTTGGATCCTGTGAATATTTCTGATACATCAAAACACCCATAGAAACTCGTCTGGTGTGGGGCTTAAATGTCTTAAAGGTGAAGCTAAGTTTTGACTCCTCCAGAAATTGTTCTATCCATGCTCCAAACAGAAACGCAATCCATAGCAACCATTGCTAGGTTGGAAAAGCTTTACACAAAATAGGATTGAACAGGATTTTTGCCAATGGGGAAAAATTAATCTGAACATGCTCCAGTCACTAAAAACGTGTGTTGATGCAGGGTGTAAACAGGTCCAGTATTATGTAGCGACTCTAAACCTGCCTCCTGAGGCCAAACATGATCTCAACAAGATCGTCTGGGGACAGCCACGAGAAATTTTAGGCTAAATGTTGGTAGGAACTATTAGTATGGGAACAAATTTAGTGTAAAATTTCTAAACCAGTCCCTCGGCTTGTGAAGGCGTAGCTCAAAGTATGGGCGACGATGCGCTCGTCAACATTGTCACAGGCCTGTTGTTACCCTACGAATGTGTAACGCTGTATTTTGATGGTCCAGTGTAGATGCTTGGTAGATGCTCAGTCTTTCTTTGACTAACCCCCGCTGTAGATCATCTATACACTCTCAGAAATAAAGGTACTAAACTGTCACTAGGGCAGGACCCCTCTTGTCTCTGGGGTGGGACCCTCAGGGGTACATCTCAGTACCTTTAGTCAGGGAACATAACTGTACCATAATCCACTGAAATGATACTCTCTAAGCTGTACAGACTCCACACACCCCGTCTCGTCTCCAGGACTTTTATTTTATTACTCTGTTTTAAAACATTCGGTTATGAAAAGGTACAAATACGAACTTTTCACCTGGAAAAACTTATTTAAGGAACACAATCAGACCTTAAAACCACTGTTGTACCTTTGAGGGAACATTTACATTGTTTGTAACTTTATTTCTAACAGTGTAGCAGGCTATCGCAATACAGTGTGATCCACGGATGTCCCGCAAGTTAGCATATCGCTGCTGTCGGGACAAAACCTCAAATTTCCATTTTTATCGTTTCTCAGTTTTTAACCTAGTCTGAAAACGCCTCCCTTTACATTGTGTGTAAATTTCATGATGAATGGACCAAAAGAAACGTCCCAAAATGACTTGGGAAAACGTCTGGTTCCATTGACTTACATTAACAGTAGAGTATGTTTTTCCCTTCTCCTGTAAAGTTACCATTTTGCAGAAACGAGGCCCCAAAAGTTCTCCTCAGACAGATGCTCTCGTTGTGAGATCACGCCTGGCCCCGCGAGACCCCTCCAAACCAAGATCACTACTGTTTCCCATTAGGTGGAACGAGACTTTTTGCCAGTGTTTTCTCTCGTCCCACTTAGCAACCTTAGCAACCGTTGCTACGAAAAAGCTCATTTGAGGGCGGAGCATGGATAGATCAATTCCGTGTAGATCAGTCTCAGCGGGAAAACGAAACGCAGGCAGAATGTTCAGCCAATGGTCCACCTTCATCCAGGGAACAACTGAACTAACACTCTTCCCAGAGCCTGATAACAATAATATGGGTCAGGACTAGTACACTAATTTAAAGAGTTAAGGAGTAGATGCTCAGGAACACGACACAAACAGATGTATTTATTTCTCTAACATACTGTAAATGTCTTACTGTACATAGAAAGCTACGTGTGGGACTAAATGAGTGTAATATATGGTGATATGTTGTGCAAATTGTGCCAGGCATTCCAAAAACTGTATACAAGTGTGAGGAGAATGGTGATGTTGGATTATAGTGATATTTTTGATGTGATGGATACAAGAACGTATAGATACAAGGGAAGGACACGGGCCTTTAAAACATTAAATGAATGTATTAAGCATTTTCATACTGTAAGGAAGCATTCAGGACGTTAAAATATAACGAGCTTTTTCTCTTTATTTTTTATTAACTATGGCAATATGTTGGACCAGCAACTGCGGATGGTGGATGAATGCAATGGAATTATTTTGATATTTTTTTTTTCTGATTTTCGTTTACTGGCCATTCAGTATTGAATGTTTAATTATCCTGTAATCACAGATTAATTAAAGGTTTCTAATCAACGCTGTGGTCATATTGGTGAATTCTGTGGATGAAAACCAAAAAAAAAATCCCAATTTAAATAGCATTATGTAGCACAAGCGGACAAATAAAAGTGTGGCGCAGTTATTAATCTCAGTGTTACTGAGCTCTGCTAAAGCCTGAGTAGATTGATAAATCAATGTGATGATCAGTTATTAATCTCAGTGTTGCTGAGCTCTGCTAAAGCCTGAGTAGACTGATAAATCAATGTGATGATCAGTTATTAATCTCAGTGTTGCTGAGCTCTGCTAAAGCCTGAGTAGACTGATAAATCAATGTGATGATCAGTTATTAATCTCAGTGTTGCTGAGCTCTGCTAAAGCCTGAGTAGACTGATAAATCAATGTGATGATCAGTTATTAATCAGTGTTACTGAGCTCTGCTAAAACCTGAGTAGACTGATAAATCAATGTGATGATCAGTTATTAATCTCAGTGTTACTGAGCTCTGCTAAAGCCTGAGTGGACTGATAAATCAATGTGATGATCAGTTATTAATCTCAGTGTTACTGAGCTCTGCTAAAGCCTGAGTAGACCGATAAATCAATGTGATCAGTTATTAATCTCGGTGTTACTGAGCTCTGTTAAAGCCTGAGTAGACTGATAAATCAATAACTTTCTGTGATGGAGCTTTTAGAGGCATTAAACTATTAAGACGTCTGGTTCCCATCACCACCACTGTGAACAATTCTGACCCAGTAAGTTTCTCCAGAACAGAGCATTTCACACCAAACCACTCTGCATGACTTTTATTGCATCTTAACCATCTGAAACTTAAAAAAAAAAAAAATTAAAGTAAAAAAAAACGAATGTGAATGTAAATTGTTTTGATACAGGGGTGGTAGGAGTCTTGAAGATGGCTAACTATGCTAATTTCTGAATAACATGGCTTTGCTGGCGTGTCAGAACGTCTAACTGAATGATAAATCCCAAAAAACAGCTCCACAGATACCCAGCAAGTAATTCCTGAACAGAGAAAATAGGAAACATGAAGTACAGCTCAGTTTTAGTTACAGGGTAAACTAGTTCCACTACTGCTATTCCTGCTTGTGCTTTCAGAATAGGCCTGTAGTCGACTGTAAGCCTGTTCTAGTGGCCGAGGTTTGAGATTTAATCCCTCCAAGAATATTTTACTCTGGCACATTCCTGGCTAGATTAATGCTGACTCTTTTTCACTGGTCCAATAAGGCGGTCACTGTTTCAGTGGGTGAAACCACACTGGAGGTCGCTCTTGTAATCCATTTAATTAATTTTTATTAATTCCAGTGAACACGGTGCGTTTTTCTCTCATAATTTAAAGGGGACTTCTGATTTCTTTAACTTCTGGATACATGTCATTCAGAGTGGTTTGGTGTGAAATGCTCTGTTCTAGAAACGTAACAAGTCAGAATCGTTCACAGTGGTGGTGATAGGAACCAGACGTCTCAAGAGTTTAGTGGCTTTAAAGAAAGTTATTACATAAAATGGTTATGAGAAGGTTTTGGCCTAAAACGTGTTTTTTTAAATTCACTTGTGGCAGAAACAGCATTGTAAGGTAAAATATTCACCACAGAAAACTTGGTTTGTCAGATTTTCCACTATTTTACCATCATCAACTTTACATACAGTATACAGCGATCAGGCATAACACTATGACCACCTCCTTGTTTCTACACTCATTGTCCATTTTATCAGCTCCACTTACTATATAGGTGCACTTTGTAGTTCTACAATTAGACTGTAGACTGTTCTTCAGTGGTCAGGACCCCCATGGACCCTCACAGAGCAGGTACTATTTGGGTGGTGGATCATTCTCAGCACTGCAGTAACACTGACGTGGTGGTGGTGTGTTAGTGTGTGTTGTGCTGGTCTGAGTGGATCAGACACAGCAGTGCCGCTGGAGTTTTTAAACACTGTGTCCACTCACTGTCCACTCTACTAGACACTCCTACCTTGTCGGTCCACCTTGTAGATGTAAAGTCAGAGATGATAGCTCATCTGCTGCTGCACAGTTTGTGTTGGTCATCCTCTAGTCCTTCATCAGTGGTCACAGGACGCTGCCCACAGGACGCTGTTGGCTGGATATTTTTGGTTGGTGGACTATTCTCAGTCCAGCAGTGACACTGAGGTGTTTAAAAACTCCAGCAGCACTGCTGTGTCTGATCCACTCAGACCAGCGCAACAAGCAATTACAGTCTGTAATTGTAGAACTACAAAGTGCACCTATATAGTAAGTGGAGCTGATAAAATGGACAATGAGTGTAGAAACAAGCAGGTGGTCATAATGTTATGCCTGATCAGTGTATAACACAGAAGACGTGTAGGTTCACTGGTGTTTTTGGATAGTAAATAAAACAGTCATATTTGTTTGTATTTGTGTGCCAGTATTTTCCACTAACTTCTTTTTTCCTCTGATAAACATACAGTTCATAGTTATACTGTGGCTTTACTTGGCCTATGCAGGCCCTGTTATCTCTTTCCTATGTTCGTATGAATTTCCTTATCTTTCTGCCGCTGACTTCCTCCCAGTGTCTTTCCTATAGAGCCGGGCTGTCCAAAGTAGAGCCAGTGGGCCAAAGTTGGCCTGCAATAACATTTGATTTGGCTCACCAAACAGTTGCCTTACCTCACCAACCCCTCAGCCACACACACACTGTTCTGTTTGGCACCATGAATTCTATACAGAAATATGTCATGTTTAAATGGTTCTTTGCATGGTGAAATGGTTCATTTTTTAAATATAAACAATATATTGAGTGTAACATTAACAGAAGTGCATTTGTCAATGATAATCCAAACAGGACCTGTAACGCTGTTTGTGTTATTGAACAGTTTGACTTCCATAATTTCACTTCCAGCGTTGAAGCTTTTACGCCTTATGGCCTAGCGCCTCCTGGTGCGCATGCGCGAAACAAGCACACTCCTTCAACATACGAGGCCAATAAGTACATTTAAATTATAATAGATTCTGGACGCTAAATAAATAAATAAATAAATAAATGAATGAATGAATGAATGATTAAAATAATGATAAAAATACATAATAAAAGTAAGCAAAACAAAATAGTACCAATCAACATTAAAAAAGAATACATTTAAAATAAATGAATAAAATAAAAATGTAATACACCAGACTGAAAGACAAGATAATTTAAACGAAACAAAAGAAAAAGCCACTGATTTAATTAAGTGTAAAAAATAAATTGTCTTTTTTTTCATGTAACATTTCCTTGTAAACATGCACGTGTATTTATAATCATATAATATTTGTATTTGATTTACATTTATAATCATGTTAATGTTTTTACCTTTAATCGGAAAAACTGAACAATTATACAAAAAATATAATATAGTACATTTAAATAAAACGAAATAAGAAGAAATTTAAAAATAAGCCGTCTTATTTTGCCTTGTTATCATTAAATATATTTCAAATTTAATTTCAATTAATATTTATTTTTTTTCCGTGCCACAAAACAAAGCAAAGTCAATAAAACAAGATTGGATTGTTAAAAAGCAAGTAAAAGCGAGTATTAATTCAAATATAATGAAACAAAGTAAAATAAAATAAAATCAAACAGAATAGTGCCTGCTTCGAATAACTAATTCAAGTGAAAAAGTAGTTTAATTTTGTTTCATTTTCGTTAAAAACATTTTAAATTTTATTTTAGTTAATTTGTTTATTTTTTAGTTTGCCATAAAACAAAACAAAGTCAATCAAATAAAACTGGACTGTGAAAAGCAAATGAAAGCAAGTGTTTAATGAGGCAAAACAACACGAAATAAACTAGAAATAAAAATAAAGTAGAATAAAAGTCCCGCCTGCGCTCCGTCACTAGTTGCATGCTGAGAGCGGGTCTGGGGAGAGAGGGCAGCGCAGCGCGGAGTCTCCGTGTAGTGACTGTAGTAGTTTAGCGTTAGCTTTAGCCGCAACCGGGCTCAGATCCCCTCCGCTGCCCGACTGCCTTTTCCCGGGAACATCGGCGTTCACGGCGTTAACCCCTCGTTATTTGATCCGACACGGACCGCTTGGGCACCTTCGGCCAGCGATGGGCGCGTTTCTGCGGCTCAGCGAGGTCAGTCATCCTGCTCGGTGTGTCTGTTTTGCTGAGCTAACGGCTAACCGCTAATGTTTGCTAACGAAGGGGCTGCCGTGTTAGTTACCTAACGCGGAGCGTCGGTTATCTTTTAACGGTTCGTCGTTTCAGAGACTCTTTTAGACGTTTTATGCGGGTTATTAGTGACCCGTTCGTGTTTGTTTTAGTACGTAATACGTTGTACAGCCAGGCTAAGCTAATCCAGTTCAACACGGAGCTGAAGTTGACTTCTTATCCGAATTCTCCCGTTCCACCTTAAATGGCGCAGCAGTTGCGCTCTGGCCCGAGCGGGCGGTAGAATGGAAGCGCCGGAGCGTTTAAGGCATTTAAGGTGGAACGGGAAGTTCGAAACGAGAAGCCAGTTTCAGCCTCGTCAGTTGAACTGGGTTGGGCCCCTTTAGCAAACACAGGTGCAGTCCGGCCTTAGAGCTGGTTTTGTCCCGGTTTATCCTCTCATTAATCCGCTCTCCCGTGTTATTTAGATGTATATAAGGCTAACGGTGCTGACACTTGTTTAATTTAAGTGTGACGAAGCTTTCCCGACGGTGTTTTCCAGTATTGATGTGACAGCGGACTCCCAGCGCTGTAGCTGGCTTTACCAGCTCAGCTGCTCAACTTCCACGTCCAGGCAACAACTTTCTGGAGGTTTTATCTTTTATTTCATTTGGTCGTCGACTTAGCTGACGATGACTGTCGAGTTTTGACAGCTGTCACTGATATTAAGTCCAAATTGTTTGACACAGGTCATTTATACTCTCACAGAGTACGCGCGGACAGCTGCTTACAGCATATGGTGCTGAGTAGAGGTGGACGATACAGCTAAAATATACCATCACGATACTTCAGGAGGTTTTCACGATGCACGATGCGTCACATTTGTTTATTTTTTCTGACATCTTATAAGCTGGAACTGACGAAGTAGTGCCACATTTAAAAGATAATATCAAAACAATGATTTATCTTCAGCAATTCAAACACTGTGCTGTGCTAAAACCAATAAAACAGGACTAATTATGCTCTCTTCGCAATCAGACATGCAGTTGGGAGGTGTTTTTGAGTATGGATGATGTCCACAATGTGTTCAGGACAGCATATTCTGGCAAAATGTCAGGTAATTTGCCTCGATAATGATAAATATGGTCAAATTGCCCAGCCCCAGTACTGAGACGCGTAGCTGTTTTTCGTATTTTATTACATCTTGTAAGTGAACGCTTGAGGAAGTACCCAACAAAGAGGTTTAAGTAGGCCTCAGTCACCTCTGCTGTGATATATAGGCTACTTTTAGCACTACCACTTTTAGTTTCATCACCTGAATCCACCCCGAGTGAGTGTAGTGCCCTTAGTGCCTTCTTTCTGAGTGCTGCCTTATTGCTTTGTATTGTTTTATGTAGAGGTATACACAGATGTATGTGTTTGTGTATCTGCAGTCAGTCTAATAACTTAGATTAATTGCTAACATTGAACGTCTCCAGTTTTTGACAGTCCAAGCTCTGTGTTGAGTTTGTCGTTCAGCAGCTCTGTTTTGAGTTCACAGGGCCATAATCCTGCATTTCTCTTATTGATCTTATTTTTTGATCCCTGATGTCCACTTATGATGTTTATATGTTTTTATGTACCAGAAATCGGTCGTAATTCCTTTTTAGGTGAACCTCTTCTGACATCTCTTTAGCTTTTACAGTTAAACAGGCTGTTTTTGTTGAAGGGGTATTCCACCAATTTTTTAAAAATTCCTGCTTATTTCAGTCATTAAGACATAAACAAAGTCATTGAGAGTGGTTTACTGTAAAATGGTGTATTATAGAGAAAACCTTTGTATATTTTTTTTGCAAATTTGCCACTGTTATATCATCAGTATTACATGTTGCTGTTGTCGGAAGAAAACCTTGTATCTCCAAAATGGTAACTTTACAGGAGAAGGAAAAAACATGCTTTACTTTCAATGTAAGTCAATGGAACCAGAATTTTTTCAAAGTCATTTTGGGCCGTTTTTTTTTCCATTCATCATGAAATTTACACACAATGTAAAGGAGAACAGGCATTTTCAGATTATGTCATCAAACATCAAAAATGGAAATACAAGGTTTTCTTCCGACAACAGCGACATAAAAACTTCACTGGTGGTTCTGGATAGTAAATAAAATGTCTATATCTGTGTTGTAGTCATTGTGACCCCTGGTTCCCATCAGCACCACTGTAAAGAGATCTGAGTCTGTAAGTTTCTCTATAGTCCGACCACTCTGAATGACTTTGTTTACAACTCAACCGTTAAAGTATAGAGAGACTTTTTAAAAAGTGATGGAATTCCCCTTTACCTTTAAGACTCACCTGAGCTCTGTTCTGATTGGCTGCCCTGTATTGTGCCTCACTCTAGGCTGCAACACTCCTTATAACTTCATTATGAGAGGATGAGGCTAAATAGCTGTAGGCTGAATAGGCGGGTATATGTAAATTAATTGGACTGGAAAGTAGACAGTACATTGTGGAGCTTTGTTTACGTTGTTACAAACTATTTTATTTCAAAGAAGCAAGGGAAGCTATTTTCTCTATGATATGGGCCCATTACCCCATTGAGTAGGTTAAGGTGTATAACGTTAAACCCATTCGAAGTAGCGCCTGGAAACAGGGCTGGGAAATATGACAGTATATATCGTTATCGTGATAAACTCACAATACAATATGCTTTTCTGGGCAAATTTGTGTATTGTCAGCACTGCATGTTTCATTATTAAGAGAGTAAAAATAGCCCCATTTAACTGAGTTTAGTGCGAAACAGTGAGCCAAATATTGAATAAAAATCATTGTATTGATTGTTTTCACCATTCTAACTGATCAGATGTCTGAAAAAATAAATATCGTGATATATCGTGTGTTGTTAAAATTTCTTGAGGTATCGCGATATTATATTTTTTCCATATCGCCCACCTCTAACTGGAAACGTGGCATGTTCATCTGAAAACATACTTGGTCGAGGTTGTGAGGTTGAAGTGACTAATCGGAGAACGAATAGAAGAATAGAGCTGCCGGTTCCAGATCATGTGATTTGTTCACTTAGGCTCCTTTTAAGCAAACAGAGGCTGTAAACAAAAGTCCCTCACAGCTACAAATGTCCCTGGGAGTTTCTTGTTTTATTTGGCTTGGGTTCTTCTTGTTCACCTGCCTCTCCTTGGGAGTAGCTGTGTTATGAAATGGCATTAAGCAATACAGTCTTTGCCTTGACTCTAGTCTCTCTACCCCCCCTCCCTCACTTCAGCAGGGGGCCGCTTCACACGTTATCACTTAATTACTGTCCATCTGAAACAGTCTGTGTGCCTCTACTCCTCCTTAAGTGGTTTGGGTGATTCAATTTGAGCTCGAGAAGAAGGCGACACTTAGCAAACAGGCTCCAGAGCAGCCAGTGGGCTTGTTTTGTGAGGTCAATGTGAATTTAATCGCATCAAACACTGTTAACAACTGAACAAATCAATTAAAAGCTCGAGAGGTGCTTGTAAATGTGCTCGAAGTAGAGCGATGCAGTTCATTGCCAGGTAAACAGAGCTGGGTAAGGTGTTAACAAGGCTGAGCAGAAGTACAACTAGGAAGTACAAACCAAAGTCAAAGTGAGTTATGAGAATAACCACCTTTGGCTCGCAGTCAGCGCACAGATATTACTTCCGCTGTTGTGCCACATGACTTCATTGTGCCAAAGGACTTTTCTTTCGTCAGTCTCGGTCATTTCTTTTCACCATTTGGTCATTTCAGTGTGCGGTTGTGCCTTCGGTGAAGAGATTGCTGACTTCTTTTTTTATATTTACATTCATATATACTATATTTTATATAAAGATAAATATATTTATATTTATATTATGTTTATATATACCATTTACAGTCAAAATGTTGGACTTCCCTGTTCAAATTACCTGTTTTGTTAAAATAAGTACACATCCTTTACAGGGAAGAAGCAAATTTGAAAGCAGATTTACTGTTTATTAGCTAAATTTACTATATAAATGAAAATAAATCATAAAATGTGCATGGTATGTTTTATTTTTTTAACCAATATGTTAAACTCAGACAACAAATGTGTCCTAAAATTTGCAGAAAAACACAGTATTTGAGTTTGTTCCCTGTAGAGGACGTGTTAACTTTTTTGCTGTTAGAAAACCAACAAAACATGGGTGCCAGAACTTTTGCGTAAGGCTATAAATGTAAATTAAATGTCAGTAGCCACGCTTACATGCAGCCTAATAATCCGTTAATAATCCGACTAATAGCTCAATCGGAATAGAATACGTCCATGTAAACACCTTAAACAGAATAGACTTAAGACCATTCGGAACACAGTTTCTATCTGATTGAACGAGGTGAGTAATCCTGTAAATAATCCGTTAACCTCTTCAGCTCCTTGAGACCACTGGTGGTTCCAAAACGCACTTCGTCATATTCTTCATAACTTTCATATTTCATAAGCTACATTCAGAAGGTGGGGGTCATATGAGAGCTGTAACTGTCTTCTTTCCAGTCAAATAGATGGGTGATGTAATTTTAAACCCTTATAATAAAAGAAGCTGAACTCACAATTTTTTGTTCTACTGAAAGTCGACCCATTTTTCCACGAATCTGGGCTATAAACTATAAACAGATGGCGTCTCTTCAGTGATCTGCTCTGTAAAAATTACTTTTATAAAATAATACAAAGAGCGTCTGAGATTTTTGGCTTTCAGCAGTAAATTGTAAGCATACAGCAATATGTGTGATCATAAAATACATGTTCTGTTAATCTGAGGGGAGCTTTTACAAATTTTTTTTCATTTATTTCATGCAGTTACTGAATAATTTGCCTCACGATTTGGTCATGTAAATTCAGATGGACAAAAATATACCCTGGAGAATAAAACAAAAGAATAATATCTGTGTAAACGGCTGTATCTGTTTACATTCCCTATCAGAAAGTTTAATTCCGTTCTGATCATGTTCGTCGTATCATAGTGAAAGTTTATACCGTTCAACATGGCGGAGCAGAAACTGGTCTGCAGAGGAGACGAAGTTTATGCTCTGATCTTTAAAAGACGGCGGTGGGACGGACGTCCAGCTTACGTGTCTCAGAACACGACGTCTTCCTCTCGCCGCTTCCCTAATACATGTGAAGGACGTTTTAAAGCAATTAAAAACACAAGCATGCCAGCTGAAAACTCGTCTCAGTCTGACTGGACTCACGTGATGCTGGTTGTCATGGTAACATCTACACTAAGTGGTTCTCCACGCATGCGTGTCATTTTGGATCTGATTACTTGTAGTGAGCATGTAAACAGAGATTTTCCATCAGATTGTTGAGTAGAGTGAGCAGAACACCTCAGTCTTCATCTATAATCGGAATGTCTTCAATCAGATTGGCAAAAATCTTGGCAGCCTGTCCAATAGGAAAAGAGATGAGGGACATTCCGATTGGGCAGTCCTCAACTTTGGGCTTAAGTTAATCCTGCTTCCTGCTTCGTGAAATACTCTGCTGTACATGTAGGGCCAGTTTCCAAGCTCCAAATTATGCTTAAACCTGGACTAAAAAGATTTTAGTCCAAAGCTTGGTTTAATCGGCGTCTAAGAAACCTGACCCTGCTGATGTAGAGAGGTGGGAGTCCTGCAAGTTGTCCTGTTATTGTTTGTAGTGCAACGAATGTCTAGACTAATTCAGTTTGTCTCTGCTTTATTAAGTTTGTCTTTACTAACTGAGGTGTCTTTTCCCAGGTGTGAAGTCTTGGCTGCGTGATTCTGCCGGAAGCGCTATGGAGCCGGATGTGATCCGCATGTATTCCTCCTCCCCTCCTCCTATGGAGGACGGCGCTGAGGAGGAGGACGACGAGTTTAGCGATTTCACCGGCGTCCCGAACAGCGTCAGCTTCTCCGAGTTTGACACACCGACAACGTTCAATCAGTTGCAGGCGTTGAACGCCACGTCGCCACCGGAGCTGATCACCAACGGTCGAATCGTGGGGCTACATGGACCGACGGGACCCGTAAAGTCCAACGGTGGGATTCCAAGCAGCGACCAAGGGGGCGGTCCTGCTTGTAGGACTGTTAACGTGGAGGAGCTAAAAAAGGCCACGGAGCGTATGCACGGAGCGTACACGAAACATTCGGACATTTCAGCGAACGACTGGACTGCTAGCGATGCTGTTGACTGCAATGGTGGTGTGGGAGGGGTTGAAACCTTGACGAATGGCTTTGCAACTTTTGACACAGAGGGAACTCCTCCCTCATGCCACAAACACAGGGAAACTGGGAATCCCTCAGTGGATTACTGTCCTGACGCTGTCGCCAATGACAATGATGAGGATTTTGCGGATTTTTCTGCTTTTTCACATGCTGACGTTTCCGGTGGAGGTGCAAACTGGGAAAACTCGAATCATGAAGACAGATTAGCTGAGGACACTGTTAAACAGGACAATGACAAAGATGCTTGCGTAACAGGGTTTGCCTCGCTAGCGTTTACTGCGGAGGCTTCTGATGGCCTCAGCAACGGAGACTGGAGTTTCCATACAGGGGCTAGTTTTGAACAAAGGGATTTGGAAACTGACAATGCACATGTTATTGCTGTTAGCACGGAGCAGACGTTAGCCCAAAACGGTGTAGCACAAAACGGCCTGGAAGGTAAGGGGAAGGTGGACAACAGGGTGTCGCCCGTCTCGGAAGACGAAAGAGGCAGCAGTAGTGAGCCAACGGAGGAGAAAGGGTCTGGGAACGATACGGAAACGGAGACCGAAACTGAGACCTCTTTTGGTCGGCCACTGTCCACAGACGCACTTGAGGAATTCGGAGATTTCAGTACGACAGGTTCCGTACCTTCTCCTCCGCTCCAGGAAGAGACGGCCACTCCTGCCGACCACAGCCAGTTGGCTGAGGATGACGATGAGGACTTTGGAGATTTTGGTGACTTTGGAGACGCTAGCTCTTTTGGTGGGGCTGGCTTCGCTGATTTCGACCAACAGGGGGATATACCTTCGGAATCGGTCTCCCAGACCAACCTGGAAATCACTTGCACCGATGAGGACGAGTTTGGCGATTTTGATGCGTCTAAAGATCCCAGCAGTGCAGGACAGGAAAACGAGGATGGGACGAAGTTTGCGGATTTTCCTGGCAGCGATAGTTTTGCGGACTTCAGTTCAGCTCCTGTCGAAAGCAGCGCGGACGCTAGCAGCGGATGGCAGGCGTTCAACGAGCCAGACTCGAATCGGGAACAGGGGGAGTCCTGGGCGGCGTTTGGTGAAGACCAGGGCTCGGCGTTTTCAGAAAAGAGCAGCGATGATTGGCATGAAGGACAGTCTGTTCAGGTGCCCCCTAGTGGCAGCAGTGAGGACAGCAGGAAAGACAGCATAACGGTATGTATGGATACGTCCAACTATTTACACTCTTTCTTGTTTCTTTTTCTGTTTTTGAAAGGTTTTAACTGTATTCAGAGGAATGGGGTGGCTCAGAACCGACATACCCCACAGGAAATTTGATACAGGCAGTATTTCTCAATTTTAGCTCGGGAATGTGGCCAGACAGGCCTGTCCACCCACTCACAACAGCACGCTGATGAAGTGGAAACAAACTCAGATCTGTCACTGATACCTTAATACTGTGTCGTTCATGAGAAATAATTTGCTAATATTTCCATAACCTGTGTCTGGCTTCTTTTCCAGTAGTTACTGTTTTTGATTGTTTCAAATCATACACTTATACTGTGTGTGTTTGTGTATATACACTGATGACCACCTCCTTGTTTCTATGCTCATTGTCCATTTTATCAGCTCCACTTACTATATAGGTGCACTTTGTAGTTCTACAGTTACAGACTGTAGACCATCTGTTTCTCTGCATACTTTGTTAGCCCCCTTTTACCCTGTTCTTCAGTGGTCAGGACCCCCATGGACCCTCACAGAGCAGGTACTATTTGGGTGGAGGATCATTCTCAGCACTGCAGTAGCACTGACGTGGTGGTGGTGTGTTAGTGTGTGTTGTGCTGGTGCGAGTGGATCAGGCACAGCAGTGCTGCTGGAGTTTTTAAACACTGTGTCCACTCACTGTCCACTCTATTAGACACTCCTACCTTGTCGGTCCACCTTGTAGATGTAAAGTCAGAGACGATAGCTCATCTGCTGCTGCACAGTTTGTGTTGGTCATCCTCTAGTCCTTCATCAGTGGTCACAGGACGCTGCCCACAGGACGCTGTTGGCTGGATGTTTTTGGTTGGTGGGCTATTCTCAGTCCAGCAGTGACACTGAGGTGTTTGAAAACTCCAGCAGCACTGCTGTGTCTGATCCACTCAGACCAGCGCAACACACACTAACACACCACCACCACATCAGTGTTACTGCAGTGCTGTGAATGACCCACCACCCAAATAGTACCTGCTCCGTGAGGGTCCATGGGGGTCCTGACCACTGAAGAACAAGGTAAAAGGGGGCTAACAAAGTATGCAGAGAAACAGATGGACTACAGTCTGTAACTGTAGAACTACAAAGTGCAGCTATATAGTAAGTATCACACACACACACATACATATATATATGTGTATGTTTTTATATTACATATATTATAAATATGTCAATATAAATATGTAAATAAACATATATAATATCCCCGTCTCTTTCCGCCCACTTTACCCAGATGCGTAGATTCGATCACTGACAGTGGTTTCCATGAAAGATTGTAATTGAGATGCTCAGAAGTGAGTGCGAAGGGTGTATTGGCTGTACAGTGTTACGTTTACATACATTAATGTTTTGATACTGTATAGAAATAAGAGATGGACGATATGACAAAAATGTAACATCGTGATACTTTAAGACATTCTCATGATACGTAATGTGCATCGTATCAAACATTGGGATGTTATATGTAATGTTGATGACGGTAAAATAGTGGAAAATGTGAAAAATTAAGTTTTCCTTGGTGACTCTTTTTGCCCAGTGTGTGCCTCTCCACCATTACTGGATAAAAACATGCGTTTTAGGCCAAGCAGTGCCTCAGAAATCAGGCAGTGAATTCATAACCATTTCATGTAATAACTTTCCGTGAGGGAGCTTTTAGAGGCATTAAACTCTTCAGGTGTCTGGATCCGATCATCACCGCTGTGAACAATCTCATTTCACAAAGACAGCGTTTCACATAAAACCACTCTGAATCACTTTGATTATATCTTAACCATTCATTTTAAAAATTTCATAAGAATTTTGTGAGAAATAATTGGAGTTCCCTTTTAAGTGTGTGGAGCATTTATGAAAAGCACAGAGTAGAAATGTGAGAGTTTGAGACTGATAGAATGTACAAACATCCTTATTGAGTATTAAGATCCTCCTAATTGGTAGAGAGAGTGATCAGTGTGATGCTCACTCTACCATTTAGGAATCAGCTTTGTGCCAAGACCCTTCTGAGAAACACAGTCCCGTCCTGTTCAGTTGACTTTCTTTTAAAGGCCCATTGGCGATTTTGAGAAATGGATATTGCCGAACACATTACTGTGGATCTCAGGACTACGGTAAATGGGAGCTGTTGGCGTGCTAACCAACACCTACAGCTTTGTAGAGGCCTTTGCTTGTTTTCAACGATATATTTCCTTCCTTTCTTTGTCACTTTGTAAATCTCTCTCTCTATTATCTCTCCAGGTCTCGCTGGTCAGCCGACTGGAGAAGCTTTTCCTGGTCAGTTTTCCTGAAGCTCCTGTGCCTCAGGTGGGGAAGGAGGTGTCTCCGCTCAAAGCCTTCCTCGAGCCTTCAGACAGACCAGAGCAGGAGGAAGGAGACACAGCACCAGCCAGCCGGTAAGAAACATGCACAGCCATAAATAGTTTTTGGTATTACCTGTGTTATGAGGGTCTTCACAAGGTGGGAAACATCTGCTCTTCACCACCAGCAGAGGGCGTTTCTAATTAAAGGGCACATGTTCTGCAGTGTTCTTGTATTTTATTTTATTCCACGTTTTGGGGAATTTTATGTAAATAACAGCTTTGACCTCAGTTGGCTGTGATCTCTTTTAGTCAGACTGTGCCTTTGAGACCGATATATATAAACGATCTCCGTTTTGATTGGCCAATCCTGTATTGTGCTTCGTTGAACATGCAGTCCGGACTGAAATGTGTAGTAACACCTGTTATCATTTCAAGGTGAGTAAGGCTGGGCGATAAAACGATAACAATAATTATCGCGATATAACTTTCCGAACTATGAGAAATGTTCGATAAATGTTCGATATAAAAGACATTCTCACACTTCCACGTTCAGCGACAGCCCTGGTGGCATTTTCTACAGCTAACCAGCTTTAGCAGCGTTAAATCACAATCACAATCCTCACAACTACAGTGCTGTTACAGCGCTCGGACAGTCATATTTAAGTATTGGTGCATACACAAGCAACGAAAGTGAAAGAAAGAAGTGGGTTCATGTAAATTACAGCCCTGATTTAAACAAAAGTAAACTGAGGAAGCTGTGAGGCATTGGAGAGCGGGAGAGCGCTATCTTTCCAGGCTAGCTGTTTTTAGCAGCTGGCTAACTTGAAGCGCTCTGTCACTCCAAAACACGGAGAATTGATGATACTGTAGATCAGACAAGGCACAAAAGCACCGCTTTCAGTTTAAACGTACCTAAAAGGAGGACTCTGTTTGACTGGTGCGAGAAAATCAGACTGCAGTTAAGGCTTTTACACAGCGAGCGTCAGATATTTTGCGGTTCACCCCTCAAACTACTACGATAGAATAGAGAAATCCAGACGTTGCTAGCTGGTGTTTCAATACTGTGACCAGCTGATGTTTGCTGTTCATACCAGGCTGACGTTGTTGAGAAACTGAACGGTTTAGCACTGTTCAGTTAACTAGTAACCAGATAGCCTAACAGTAGCCTAGCTAAAAATAATCTGTCATCTTTCTTAAATTAAGATTATTACAAAAACTGCAGCCATGCTTTTCCAGCTGCTAAAAACAGCTCACCAGAAACTTTCTGCCGGTTTCTCATGACAGATGTGTGAAATGTTCCACCGTTTGGTGAGTGTTTGTCGTGTTCTGACCATAAAGGATGGTTTAAAACAGCGATAAACCACTCAGGAGGATAAAACAGCCTTCAAACTTGAAAGAAATAACGATTTGACATTTATCGCGGTATGTATCGATATCGACCGATATGAATTTTGTTGATCATGATAACACTTTTTTGACCATATCGCCCAGCTCTGCATAGGGGTCTTTTAAACTGCAGCATATAGAATTGATATGTAACTTACTGTCGGTAGTAGTTTATTATGCGCTCAGCTGATCTCTCTCTCTCTCTCTCTCTCTCTCTCTCTCTCTCTCTCTCTCTCTCTCTCTCTCTATCTCTCGTCATGCAGAGCGCTGCAGGATGTGTGGCGGCAGCTGCAGGACATCCACAACGCCTTTGGCCTCCGATATCAGTGGGGCGGTTCCCATAGCAACAAAACACTGCTGTGTTCCCTGGGGATCGACACAAGAAACATAGTGAGTTGGTTTTTAGGTAGAGACGGAACGATACCACTCTCTCTTTTCCGACACTGATATCGAAACCTTGATTCCAATCCGATTTTCCCTCTTCAAAAACTACTAAGCTTTAAAATGAGCTTACACAAAGAACCACGTCTAATAATACCCCAGTTAAAATTCACCCCAGTTAAAATTCACCCCAGTTAAAATTCACCCCAGTTAAAATTCACTGTTTTCATTCAAGGAATGAAAAGCTGCCCCTGAGACCGCAGCACAGAAAGTCATATGCAGTCGTATGCAAACGTTTGGGCTCCCCTGATCACATGACATGTTGTTCTTCTAAGTGAAAGCATGTTAACACGTTTCTCCTCTACAGAGAACAAACATCATCTTCTGTTTATTTGCTGAGTTTAACATATTGGGGGGGGAAATAAACTTAAAATCTAAAATGTGCAATAACTTTTGCACAGGCCACATTTTATGTTTTGTAACCCCCCCAATATGTTAAATTCAGCAAATAAAGAATAAATGTGCATTAAATTTGTGCAGAGGTGTGTTCTCTGTAGAGGACGTGTGAACTTATTTTCACTTAGAACATCAACAAAAGTGTGTCATTTGATCAGGGGTGCCCGAATTTTTGCATATGACTGTATAAAGCAAATTTTAACTCCTAAAAAAAATAAAGCTGCTGATATCAGTTTTGTTTTGACCTGTTTTTTGTCTGCTCACTATTCTGAGTGAATTCCTTTGAGAAGACAGACATTATGGTAGAGGCAGGTTTTGGGTTGCGATGCTCTGAAATCACCATTCTTAGCCAAAACCAAACTTCAGAACGAGCTCGGCCGAAACTGGACCTGAAAAAAGCTGATAAAACATAAGAGTTTACGAAAAGTACATCTGCATAAATGATTACAGTATGTAGGCTGCAGGAGGTGCCACCAAACCCAGCGTCCTCAGCTCCCTTTGGCTGTTGTGGTGACAAATGGCTTTGACATGCTTGCAGGCACTTTCCATTCTGTGTTGTGTTTTTAAGTGGTTCTTGGGTGTCGTATCTCATCTTGATGCTCATCATGAACAGAGATTATAAACCGTTTGACTCATTTTCCTCATAGAAATAGTGAAATAGTGAATTGGTCCAAAACAAAGAGCGTTTTTATCACTATATCTCATTTTCATTACCATTAAAATGGTTTGTAGAGACTTACGTTTGGTCACTTCATCATAGCTCTGTGTCTTTTGTCTTGTTTTCCTCTTTGCAGATTTTGGCTGATATTTATGTCAGTACATCCCTGTTTTTGGTATCTATTACTCTCATATGATTAACTCGTTCTATCTCTCTCTTTCTTTTCTCTCAGTTGTTCACAGGTCAGAAGAAGCAGCCGGTGATCGTGCCCATGTACGCTGCCAGTCTGGTGAGAATTCAGCCTTTTTAATCCTTTACAACGACCTTTTTTAAATCAAATTTAAATTGTTCTTTCTTCTTACTCACTTACACGTTCATTCTCTTTCCTCTCTTTTTTCTGTCCATAACTCGATCTCTCTATCTCTTTCTGTCGCTCTCCTCTCTTTATTTCTTCTTTTCTCATTCTTTTTCCCTTTTTTCCTCTCTTTCGGTATCTTTCTGATGATCTTTCGCTCATTCTTTCTTTCCTAATCTCTCTCTCCGTCTCTGCAGGGAATGCTGGAGCCCACTAAGGAGCCGGTGAAGCCCGTCTCGGCGGCGGAGATGATCGCATCCATAGCACAGTCTCCCTCCATCTCTACGGAGATGAGCACCTGTCCACCTGACTCGCTGCAGGTTTGTACTGACACACCTGGCTGTTTATGTTCATTGCGGGGGTACGTTAGGATACAATACATGACCATATGATCCGACATGTTGTATCATATGTCGCTGTTGTCGGAAGAAAACCTTGTATCTCCAAAATGGTAACTTTAGAGGAGAAGGAAAAACCTACTTTACTTTTAATGCAAGTCAATGGGACCAGAATTTTTTCCAAGTCATTTTGGGCCGTTTCTTGGGCTGTTTTGGTCCGTTCATCTTGAAATTTACACACAATGTAAAGAATACATATGTGTATATATATATATATAACACACCAAATATAACAGTAAAAATAATAATGCCTCACTTTTTCTCCTGAAGTTGTTAATTTTGAGGCGTTTATGCTGAACTAACCCCATAAGCCGTTTGAGTAGATATGAATGTACCAAATGCTTCACTGAATGTTTTTAATTCGATGTTTCTCCCCTGACCACCTGCAGGAGACCCTTCCCCCAGTGCAGTTTGACTGGAGCAGCAGTGGCCTTACGAATCCTCTGGATGGTACGCCTCCCACACAGCTCCACTTCGCTCAGTCACCAAAACTCTTCAGCTTCCCCACCAGGCTTAAGGGGGATTTTAAAAAAAATCTGTAATTAGACAGTTAAGATGTAAGCGAAGTCATGCAGAGTGTTGGGAAGAAAAGTGGTCCATTCTAGCGATGTCAGGTGAAATCAGGTCAAATTCAACTGTGTTATTCAGTTGGTCAGTGGTGCAAAAACATATTCGCACAACATTTTATAGCAGCAGGAACAAAAGACGGTTTGAACCTGGTTGTTTTAAAGGGGAATTCCTCCAATTTTTTCATAAATTTCTGCATTATTAAGTGGTTAAAATATAAACAAAGTCATTCAGAGTGGTTTGGTGTGAAACGCTCTGTTCTAGAGAAACTTACAGAGTCAGAATTGCTCACAGTGGTGGTGATGGGAACCAGACGTCTATTGAGTTTGATGCCTTTAAAAGCTCCCACACAGAAAGAGATTACATGCAGTGTTTTTGAATACTACACTGCCTGATTTCTGAGACATTGTTTTACGATAGTTTTGAGATGGTTTTGGCTTAAAACGTGCTGTACCTCGTACATGCAAAGGGCATTGTAAGGTAAAATAGAAAATGCATATTTTCGATATTTGCCACTATTTTATCTGAGTACGTTTACCATGAACACGTGTGGGTTCATGTATATGTGGATATTTATGTTGTAGACATTGTGACCCCTGGTTTCTATCATTACCATTCTTAAGGAATCTGAGAAATATCAATAAGTTTCTATAATTAACCGTTTCACATTAAACCACTCTGAATGACTTTGCATTTCAGCTGAAGTGATTTTCTTTGGATTTCCCCTTTAACTCTGCCCTGCAGCGTTCAACTGCTTTTGATAATACATTGAAGCATATTCAAGATGAGGGCAGTAAAGAGCTGAGTAAGTGGCAGGTGCTCGGTTCCTATGACGCTGCTTGCTGTCTTGATTAATCAGACCAAATGTGAGGCCACTCTGGAGTACAGATTCATAGACAAGTTCATGCTTATGTATCTAGTGGCTGGAGGCACGTGCAAGACATTTTATCCAAAGAAAACTGATTTTTACTGATTTACGATTGTTTTGGTATTATTAACTCGGATACATCTGATTGGAAAACAAACAAAAACAGCTGTCTGGGTTGTGGGTTTCATGACCCCCTTGTGTTCTTAACGCTGTGAAGAAACCTCATCATGTCTGCATAGTTTATCGGTGGATAAAATGGAACGGACCACCTCCATTCTTCAGAACATGACTCTGCACGACTGTTCACTTATTTACAAAAACAATTGGTGGAATTCCAGTTTAAAGGAGCCTCTTTGGGTTACTTTTCTTGTCGGTTTGTCCAGTAGATGGCGCTGTATCTCAGCCAGGGAGTGCTGCATTTTTTCACTTTCTTCTCTGCTGAAGTGACAGGGTTGTTTTTCTAGCCTGTACATTTGTAAATGCTCACTTATTTAGAGACATTGGGCAGTTTTTGGGAAACGTTTTCCCCAGTATCGCCTTTCTTTAGATGCTTATGCTGACAGATTTCCAATCTCTGCTTGTGTTTAGCTCAGTGGGTGCATTTGTACACTTGCTTTTGGAGAGCCTCACCAAAAGATTCTTTGAGTGATACCATAGAACCACTGTTTGTTCTCTAAAGAACCGCGTTTGGAAAAAAGAGATTTGTGAGTGTGAAGTGTACGTTACACACAGTGTAATGGTTTTATGTCAAACCATTACAGGACTGTCAGGCAATTTCAGTAATTGATAGTGATGAACACATTTTTCCATAAAACAGCAGTGCAGTTTTTATAGATGCATGAGAGGAGGGGTTCACATGAACCTGAACATCCTATGAAGAGGTCTGCAGAGCTGCATGCGGCTCTTTTGCTGCCCTGTTGCGGCTCCACAGCAGAATTATAAAAAATAAAATAATCCTGCTCTACAGTAAAATAAAGCTCTGCTGATCGATCAACACAGTTTAACAGTAAATGATCCTAAACTCTGGAGTTCATGTAGAGCTGCTGATTCACCCTTTAACACTGAAGGTTGGTGCGCAGACTGCTGGTCACCATAGCAACGCAGTCTCGCCTAGCTAGTAGCAACGAAAAGACTTAAGATGAACATAAGTCCATTCCTCTCAGAACTGTCTACTTGCATTTATAATCACTCCAGCTTTATTTCCTGATACTTTTAATTTGAAACGAGAAACTGTCAAAGACTAAAAGGTTGCGAGGCTGAAGTCGCTTCTCATTCGTCAGCTTCTCGTTTAAATTCTCCCGTTTCACCTTGAATGGTGCAGCAGGTACATTCTGGCACCATTTAATGTGGAACAGGAAAATACAAACAAGAAGCTGCTGAATGAGAAGCGACTTCAGCCTTGAAAAAAATCGAACCGAGAGACATTTTACAAAAAACTGTTTTACTTGTGAGGAAAAGTTTCCTGCCGGAGATGTGAGAAAAGCGGCTATAGCTGAGCTAAAGCTTAAAGCAAAGCAAAGTAAGTCTGCGTTTCGTTCATATTTTTTTAGTCTGCACTAGGAAATTAGCTATCTAGAACATAATAAGACACATTTTCAGCCAAGGTGGTAAAACGTTACTAAAGTAAAATGGACATAAAATGTTGTGGCTCCCAAAGTGGATTGATTTTTTTGTTGAAAGGACAAAATGGCTCTTCTTAACATTTGGGTTGCCCCACACTTTCCAGTTGCCATCACTGATGTCCAGTGATGGCAACATCGGCTGCATGTGTGTATCTCACATATCGTATCTAGTCAGTGAGTGAATATCTCATATTTAAACAATAGAACATGAGAGGGAGCGCGTTATCACAAATATCAAAGCGGCTGTGATGGGGTTATCGGCTCGATCTGAAGACAGAAAACAAACTACAACCAAATACAATTCAAAATATTCATCGCTACGTTTTGCTGAGTATATTGTTTCAGAAAGGCAGATCACAGAGGCTTTAGCCATTAAGGAACCATATAAACAGGGCATAATGTCATTTCTATAGGACAGCTGGGCTTCAGGGTAGAACTATTGATGGTTTCCACAATGAGTCAAACTAGAAAAGGTATTAAAGAAATTTAGAATCTAGGTTAGTAAAGCAGTGACTTTGACACCATCACTACCAATTTAATGGTTCTTCCTAGAGCCGTTTCATTATTTGGAGGTTCTTTAAACTGTGGAAACGTTCTCCACACTCACATCTCATTTACAAAAATGGTTCTCTGAAGAACCTTCTGTTGAAATGTGGTTCTTCCGTGGCATCATGCAAAGATCTCTCTTCGCTGCCTTTATATTTGAGTTCCAGATTAAAGAGCTCAGAGCAAATTTACAGATGTACCCTGTGTTTAATTAACAGTCGGCATCTGAACTGTTTGTAACCTTCTAACCATCTTTAAGCTCTCTGCAGTTTCAGTGTTCATCAGTAACAGCCTTCAAACCCCACAAACATCTGCTCAGATAAAATGAATGTATTTTCTGTTTGTTACTAACAAGAACCTGCATGTGTAAAGTCGTCTTCTCTTTCTCTCTCTCTGTGTCTGTCTGTGTATGTCTCTCTCTCTCTCTCTCTCTCTTTTACCTTTCCTAACTCCTCCGTCATCCCTCGTTCTCTTTCTCTCTTTCTCTCTTTTCCCCCTCGTTTTAAAGCGAGTGGAGGCTCGTCTCTGCTGAATCTGGATTTTTTCGGCCCTGTGGACGAGTCGCCCTCCAGCTCCGCCACCTCCATACCAGGTCAGCTGAGGTCAAACGTTAAACTACACGGGGGCGCCTTGTGTTGAACGTGAACTCTAGCTGTGTTTCTCTCTCCCGCTGTTCTTTTTGCATGTGCAGCTTTTAACAAATCGTCCTCTTCGGTAGCTGTAGAACATGCTTTCTTTATTCTGTACGAGTTAAGCTGTGAGTGCAAGAAGCAGAGTTATAACTGGGTCTGTGTGTGGTTGTAGGAGTGGACCCGGAGCTGTACGAGCTGACCCAGGCTAAGATGGAGGTGAGCGGTGGGGGCAGCAGAGTTGCGGATGCTTTCGCTCGCCTCATGTCCACGGTCGAGAAAACCAACACCTCCACCAGGTCAGAAACCCAGCCGCACCAACACTGATCAGACAGCAGGGGGCAGCAGCACCACACCAGTACTGTTTTAACTAGGGCTGCAACAACTAACCGGTGTTATCGTTGATGTCGATAATAAAGAATTGTTGGCAGTGAATCGTTATTGATTAGTTGGCTCGGTGACGTTTACACTCCCAGTTTACTTCACCTGACTGAAGGAGGGAAACCGCAGATGGTGGAGACTGTAGTACAGGGTTATACATGAGAAAAAAGTAAAAAATGTGGGATGCATTGACTTCAGCATCATCTAAAAAGACCGTTTCCCGTAAGGTGTGTGAAACTGAGCATACCTTTGCCTGTAGATTGAGAGTCCACTCCAAAGGAAGTGACTCTGTCGCATCTGGGATTCCGAGTTGACTCTTGGCTAAGGACTCTGAGAGTCTAATCCCATTTCACCCCTCGCCCCTACCGCTCAGCCCTTAGCCCTCTGTTTTGCACGTTCACGTCTAGGGGTAGGGTGCCCCAATTTTTTGTTGAGATAGAGGGGGAGGGCGAAGTGTTAGGGCTACATGACCCTCCAAACGGAGGTTTTTCAGAGACTCCAACCGGAGTGTTACGAGAAAAAAAGAAAAACTGACAAGAAACCCACAAATGTGAGTATTTTCTTTAAACATTACCATAACCATCGTATTATCTTAGTTTAATGTCGTTTCAGTGTATTATGGTCCTTTTCTTCATTACAAGCATGAAAAATTGCTAATAATATGCTAATGTCTCAGTAGCTAGTTAGCTAAATTTCCCGTTCCACCTTAAATAGTCCAGCAGTTCTGATGCCTGAAGCGCCAGAATGTAACTGGTGATCTATTTAAGGTGCAACAGGAAAATTTGAATGAGAATGTGGTGAATATCTGACTTCAGCTTCATATCACTGAAGAATTAGGGGTGGGTGATAATAAATAATTGCCCCCTCTTTGAAGGCATATGATGCCCTAAATGTAACTAAAGCCCAGCAGTGAGGAGCTGAACTTGACGCTCCTCTGCTATCACTGCAGTGCATTTCATTGTGTAATTTTGAGGCTTGGTGAGTGTGTCAGAGCACTAATGTTACCCTTCTAGCTTAATTAAGTTCTTTTATGTATTTCATACCATTGTTCCTCACCAGCCTCCCTCCAGGCAAAATGTCTAGATGTCTGCGCTTTACATATCCTGATCATGCTGTAGAAAATCTGCTATAAACAGGAACTAGAATTTGACTGCAGGGCGGCTGTCACGCGCGAGGATCTCCAGAAACACATTTAGGGCAGAAAACGGCCGAAGCTCAGTATGATTAGGAAATGGCAGTAAAGCTGTAGTCAGAAGATAAAAACACTGTCGTCGTCTCCTGGGGCTGCAACGAATGACTGTTTTGATAGTCTCGAATAATCTCGAATATTGAAACGAATAATCGATTATTCAGATTAATTATTCGTTCAGTTACCAAATAACTCTTATGTAACTGTATCAGCTTTTAAATACACAAACATGAGAGTGGATCGCTGCGTTCCCTCTGTTATATACCCTATTCTGCTTTCTGAGAGCAATACTGGAAATACTGTAATTTTGGACAGTATCTTTCTTAAACTGCCGCTCCAGAATGGCGGCGCTGTTGATGTGCCTGGCTGGACCCAGTGCCTGGGTGTGCCTGGCTGTTTGCAAACGTTCTCCTATGTTCTCTGAACTTAATTGCACCAGTGGTCTCGACGTTAAGACAGCGTTTAAAACTAAACGACATTTGGAAAGTGAACAGGGTCGCTGTTCCTAGTTAGCATGAGAAACATGCATGATGACGTCACCAACTAATCGACTGTTAAGTTAGTTGCCAACTAAATTGGTCGTCGATTTTAGTCGACTAAGTCGATTAATCGTTGCACCCCTATTGTCTGCTTTTCAGCAAGCTCAGAATATTTTTTTTTTTTAAGTGGTGAGCTACATTTTTATATATATACATTTTAGACATTTTATATATATACATTTTATATATATAATGTGTGTGTGTGTGTGTGTGTGTGTGTGTGTGTATGTATATATATATATATATATATATATATATATATATATATATATAAAATATAATTCTCTCTCTCTCTCTCGCGCTCTCTCTCTCTCTCTAACAGAAGACTGCAGGTGCGTAAAGAGGAGAATCTGAGTGAAGAAGCTCGTCGTGTTATCGCCGGACTGCCCGATCTTTCCTTCATGCAGGCCAAAGTGCTGATGTTCCCCTCCACGCTCACTCCACTCCCTCTCTCCTCTTCCTCATCGCCCTCTCCTGTCCCAGACTGATCCCTCCCTCCCCCATCCCTCTACCCCCCCACTCCCCCCACTCTTTTAGCATTTCACTCTCTCCATATCGTTCTTTTCTGTCTGCAGTTACTTCCTGTCTGCTTCTTAGATTCTTTTCTGAGATTTTTGTCGTCATCTTCCGTTTTCCGGTTGTTCTTCTTTTGCTGTGAGTCACGTGAGAATGAAGGAACGTCTTTTGGCTCTGAATGAGTTTAGAGGAAGCGTCTTTTGGAGGAAAGTGGGCAAAAGAAACCCTTATTTATAGTCATGATTTACCGGTTTTGTTCATATTAGAGGTTCAATATGTATATAATCAGGGATAAGACTTCTCATTTGATTCCCCCCCTTAAAGGACTTTTATGATTCAGTATGATTCGTATGTGTGTGTGTGTGTGTGTGTGTGTGGTGTGTGTGTGTGTGTGTGTGTATGTATGTATGTATGTATGTATGTATGTTAAATATCTTTTTGCTGAGGAAACACTGGTTCAGAAGTCCTTCAACGAAGGCAAAAAAGTGAAGTGAAATCAGTCACACGTATATATACTTATATAAATATATATAAATATATAGATTCTATATAATAAATATAATGACTTGAAACCATACTGCCTGCAAAATTCTGCTGGGTGATTGTTTTTTGTTTTGTTTTGTTTTTTTTTCCGACTATACGATTAAAAAGGCCTTAGTTTTTAATAGTATTGGTTAATATAATTACAATAATGATTATTGTGTAGATTTTTTGTCTTTCTTTAGTTGGTTTCTTAGCCCTTTAGCATTACGTCGTCTTTTTTTTTGGTCTCGCTTTCTTTAGTTCGGGTTATTAAACGTTTATTGTACACAGCGCTCGCTTTATTCCTCTGCTAAAGCCTCTCATAGGTGAAGCCCATCTACGATTAGCAAGACGGTGGCTGCTTTTTTAACACACAGCTGCTTTCTCTGTTTCCTGCTGGATTATTTTGTGTTTATATATATTGTTGTTGTTATATTTTTTGTTTTAAACATGGAGGGATGCTTTTTAAAAAGTTGAAACCACTGACTCTGGACTGTAATGTGATCCATTTGATGAAGGAATCGTTGAGAAATGGAAAAAAAAGAAAAAGAAAACACGATTGACTTGAAATGCTTAGCGAATAAGGGACCAATACATGCGTTTATATCTGTGGCTATTTTATTCCACCCTGTTATCGAAGTGCTTATCAATGTCTGTTTTGCTGTCAGTCTGTTTGTTTTAGCTGTGGGACCCTAAATGGACTTTTCCGGCAAACTTTTTTTCCCCATTTGAGCATTGCATTGTGGGAATTGTTGTCCAGAAACAGTCCCGTTTGGAGGCTTCCTTCTTTTGGCTTTTTTTTTTTCCCCCTTAATTTAATTTAATTTTTTTTGTTTGTTTTGGGTTCTACCACTGTGTTGTCTGTCTCTCCGTGAGGAATTTTGCACATTGTAAAGATATAATGGAAGTACTACTTAATGACATAGTTGACTGTGGCTTCTGACTGTGTACAGTGAGACTATGAAACATGTAAAAATAACAGGAAAACAAATGTTTCGGGAAAAATTCCTATGGAAAAAATATCTTACTGACGAACATGATACCCGCCCCCCCCACCCCCAGCCCCCAGCCCCCAGCCCCCTCGACAGGTTGAAACGAGCATGTCCGGGCTCTTTTTGACAAACAGACAAACAAACAAACAAACAAACAGGAAACTTTAAGTGTGTAAATTTTCTTTTAGTGTACACAAGAAATTAAAGTAATTTAAGAGAAGTTGCTGCTTGTTTGTGTTTTCTTTGGGACGTTAAAGGGGAATTCCACCAATTTTTTAAAAAATGTGCATAGTTAAATCAGCAATACGTGAGTGAAGTTGAGCGGTTGCAGTCAGAGTGGTTTGATGTGGAACACTCTGCTCTAGAGATACTTGCAGAATCATACACAGTGGTGGTGATAGGAACCAGACGTCTGAAGTGTTTAATGCCTCTAAAAGCTCCATCACAGAAAGATATGACAGTAAATGATTATGAATTCACTGCCTGATGTCTGAGACACTGTTTTATAGTACTTTTGAGTGATGGTTTTAGACAGTAAAACTCAGTTGAATCCTCTGTGAACTGCAGCATCATAGCTACAATATATTATTTCTGGAATATTTAAAATGGACTTTACAGTTACAGGTGTAGGTGCTACACAGTGATTTGTTGGGTCTGCATCTAAATCTCCAACTAATTGTGAGCTACACTTCACCTCCTAATCTGCCTTCAGAGGGAGATTACACATCTGGTGGTGGGATTATACCTTTCCTGATATTATGGTTATTATTCCTTATTATTACAGACAGAGTTATAGTGCGTGTGATCTTAGAGTGAGAGAATGAGGCCTATTTGATCTGCCTTTTTAAATGGGAGCTGATCTGCTCTCCTGATCTTCCACTAGAGGGCGCAAAGGCTCACGTTTACAACAGATCCTGTATGTAGAGTCAGTGGATCACAGGCACAAAGTCATCTGGGAATAATTGCTCAGTTCTTAATTGATTAAGAAGCACATTTAGAAAAATATACTGATAACCGGTATAATTTTCAATGGAAATATAAACTCTAAATATGATCAAACTTCACAAACACAATCTAAAAGTCAAGCATATAGACAGTTGGTGAGCACACAAGTAATTTGGAAGCAAAACTGCACAGTGATTTACTGGAAGACGACCAGAAATATATAAATATATAGGATACAATGGGAATATTAAGATGGTGTGACATCATTGCTTGACAGCCCCTTTATTAGCATAAGGACAAACAAATACAGAAATAAATATAGAAATGAATACTTATGGAAATAAAAAAGAAGAAAAAATGTTATATAAAGAAACATATAAATAACAAAAAATAAATATATAAAAATTAGTGAGAAGGGGAAATTACTAAATAGACATAAGTAAATGTAAGGTTTTATTTATTAATGTATTAATTTGTATGTATATTCATGTATTTTTGGATTGATCATCATTATTCTTTGCCGTTCTAATTCATATCTAATCTTAAGTCATGTATTTTTAATGTTATTTATTTTCATTTTGGTCGGCCTGCTCCTCCTCAGTCCTCAGCAGAGATATCTATGGTGCTAAAACGGTTGTTTGTAGATGAGAAATTCACCCAAACCGGCGGTCGGTAACATTTTACTGCCCTCTAGCGGCTCCACAGCAGAACCAGATCTGTAGGTGAACTAAAATAATCCTCCTCTACAGTAAAATAAAGCTCTGCTGATCGATCAACACAGTTTAACAGTAAATGATCCTAAACTCTGGAGTTCATGTAGAGCTGCTGATTCACCCTTTAACCCTGAAGATCAGCGCAGACTGCTGGTCACCATAGCAACGCAGAGAAGACTCTCGCCCAGCTGGTAGCGACGAAAAGACAAACAGAGCGGTTTAAGATGAAGATCGATAATCTGGAGATTAATGGACTGATCTGGGTTCATAATCACTCCAGCTGGTTCCTGATGCGTTTAATCTGCAGCGAGGAACTGACGAACACTGAACCGTCGCAGAGCTGGAGTCGGTTTCTCCTTCTAATTGTCCCGTTCCACCTTAAACGGTGCAGCAGTTACAGTCTGAGGCGCCATTTAAGGTGGAACGGGACGATTCGAACAAGCAGTCGGAGAAAAAGAAGCTGATTGAGCTTCATGGAGGGCTGAAAGGCATAATTTGAGTTTCTCAGAACCGACAGGTCAGTATTTTGTCTCGTTTGCTAATGTTTGTGATAGCTAGTCTCAGCTGCTGCACCATTTAAGGTGGAACGGAAATATTCAAACAAGAAGCTGCGAAAATGAAGCTAAATTCAGCCTCGTAGTTTAACACTGGTAGAGTTTCTGATAAGGAGTTTTAGCCTTTATCAAAATATCCCCCCCAGAGGTTTTATTTACGGGTACCCCTGTAAAAATGCGCTACGGTAGAACATTTCGATAAGGTAGCTCAGCTCGTCAGAGCTCCGCCACAGCCCGCCTTAGATTAGTGTAGCTCAGTGACATCAGACTGAGGCGCAGCAGCTTCAGCTCGCATGTAGCACTATTAGTATTACAGCTCTTCATCGGCCTCGTAATTCAGAGGATCCAGTGGTTTTCAGGAGAAAATGTACTCAGAACAAAACGAATCTGGTTCTGAACATTTTTATTGAACACAGGGGGCGCTAGAGGCGACTTTCCCTGTTCATTCTGGCCATAGAGAAACGGAGCTCAGACCCGGAGCTCCTAATATGGGCATAACGAGGACTACAGAATGACGACACGACTACAGTGACCTGTAAGGGTCATGTAGTCCTACGACTACAAGCGTCGCCATGGTGACCCGTTCGCTTGGCTGTGACGTCATAGGCGATGACGGCACAGTGACGTGTCCCGGCTATAAAAGTGAACACTGAGTGAAATTTCTTCATTCGTGTTTGAGCTGATCTGAGATACAGACGGGGAAATGGAAGCAGAGCACAAAGACAAAAAGGTAAGAGTAGAGTTTCCAACACGACCTCGACCTTCTGGGTAGAGATTATTAATCTATTAATCTATTAATCTATCTATCTATCTATCTATCTATTTATTTATTTATTTATTTATATATATCAATAATAAAACACATCACTGCTACACTAAATAAGTCAATGAACAGAAGTAAAATAACCTAAAACAAAACACAACAAAATAAATAAATAAGATCAATAATAATTGAATAATCATTTAAAAATCACATCATACTGATTTTCTTGACTTTGTGGGATTCAAAATATGCTGCGAAGCTCCAGATATTTCTGGGGGAGGTTTTGTTCTTATGGTTTATCGTTGTAGAGGATATAATCTAAAGCTGCATTTCTGTTTCAAACACTGACGTTTCTGGAATTTAATTTGAAAATATGTTTTCAGCAAAGTTGTTATCTTCATCGTCATTGTTCAAAAACAGTGAAAAACCCTTTAGCAGCTCTAGACTGAGAGCGAGGACATAAACAAATTAGGACAAAGTGATCGCTGGAATTACGACCACAGAAAAGACGATGACAGACTTTTCGGTGGGCGACGTCGGACCACCAGAATCAGAATGATGAGTACGCTGTGGAAAATGTGCTTATCCTCCTGATTTATCTGCCTCTAGAGCGGAAAGCGAAAGGACAGATGTGCCGAGGGCTCCCGGGGTCCCACCAAGAAGAGGGAGCTCAAAGCTGCTGAGGACAGTGGCTTCAACCAGCTGCCACCTCTCAGGCAAGAGCAAGAAAAGACCTCTCAGGTATGTGGATATACTGTATACAGTGGCAAGAAAAAGTATGTGAACCCTTTGGAATTTTATGGTTTTCTGCATCAATTTGTCCTAAAATGTGATCTGATCCTCATCCACCGACACTCCACAGCGGTGCTGGCAAAATGTTTTGTGGACAGATGAAACTGAGATTGAACTATTTGGAAAGAACACGCAGCGCTACATCTGGCGTAAAAAAGGCACTGCACATCACCATGAAACTATCATCCCATCCGTAAAGTGTGGTGGAGGGAGCATCATGATTTGGGCCTGCTGTGCTGCATCAGGGCCTGGCCAGCTTACAATCATTGAGGAGACGATGAATTCCCAAGTGTATCAAAACATTCTACAGGATAATGTGAGAGTGTCTGTACGTCAGCTGAAACTCTGTAGAAGTTGGGTGGTGCAACAGGACAACGACCCAAAACACTGGAGCGAGTCCACAACAGAACGGCTTATGAAAAACAAAATCCGCCTTTTGGAGCGGCCGAGTCAGAGCCCAGATCTCAGCCTTATAGAAATGCTGTGGATTGACTTGAAGAGAGCCGCACACATGAGGCGTCCAAGGAACACGACAGAGCTAAAGCAGTTCTGCCAGGAAGAATGGGCTAAAATCCCTCCTGAACGATCTGCAGCTACAGGAAGCGCCTGGTTGAGGTTATTGCTGCCAAAGGGGGGTCAACCAGCTATTAATTCCAAGGGTTCACTTATTTTTTTGTGTTATTATTTGAGGCACATTATATTTGTCAATACACTTGACTTGGATGAGGATCAGATCACATTTTATGACAAATTAATGCAGAAAACCATAAAATTCCAAAGGGTTCACAGACTTTTTCTTGACACTGTATGTACATGTGTACAGATTAGGAATGCATTAGTGCTTAATTCTCTCATATCCTTATATCTTATATTCCTTTTAGGCTCTCAATGTGGCTGTACACGCTCAGTCTTACAGTGTCCTACCACCGATCAGAGGCAGCTGTCCACCACCAGTTCAGGCCATGAAAGGTAAGATCTTAAACTGAGAGGTTTTCGTGGCGCCCAGGTTCCTCATAATAAAGCAATGAGCCACGAGAGGCCGTTCTTAAAACTCCCTTCCCCTGATAAAATCGCAGTAACACACAGCCTCAAGTGGCTTTTATTGCTTTTATAAAACAGCGGCCGACATAAAATATAATAAAATACTCGACTTTTCAGGAAATAATTGATTATTAATAATAATCTACAATATTAGAGAAAGGTAGTTCCTTTAGAGTACCGTATCATCGCCAAACTCCCATGGACGCTGAATGAGGAGAACGTTTGGTCGCCCATCGCTGTATTTTGCGGTCATTTCATGATTTCTTTTACTTTTTTGTGATGCAAAACTTTTGTTTTATAAGTACTTTTTGGTACCAAATCACCACCACAAGTCTTATTTAGCACCAATCCAGCGGCGCCTCTCTTCTCACGCTGGGGCTGAATCTCAAACGGCTCCCTGCTCCCTACATAGTGCACTACATAGGGGTTTAAATACTGGATCCTGCAGCCCAACAGAGCAAAATACAGCTAAGAAATGGTCATCTGGGACTCCGACACATCCACACTCGATACATGATGCACTGTTTGACTGTAGAGGCCAGAATTTCTGAACTTCCATAGCTAGAACACTATTTAGGGAGTACAGAGCCGTTTGGGATTCAGCCTGGGTTTGATGTGACTTCTGACTGAAACACCAACATTTGAAGTCTGATAAACATTCAAGTGACATTTTTAGACTTTAATACTGCAGTTTTACTGTTAATCATACTGTAAGTGCTTTAATTCAGGCCTGTGATATTAATGATGGAGTTGTTTAAGCTGTTGGCTGTTTTAGCCTGTTAGCTAGCTGACCAGCCTGGTTCTAGTAAAGAAAATAAGTTTTCAGCCCCTCAGTTTAAACAAAAAACAGGTTCTTACTTCATCAGTACACTCGGTGGTCCATGTGAGCAGCATTAGAGTCAAAGATTATTCCATTTACACGACAAGGTTTTTTGTGCCGTGGCGTAGAAATACACAGTTCAGTTGCTGTGAGGCGGTCATAGGAGTGGTATATCATGGATTTTACAACGGCTTCAAACGTGGTTCAGCAGATTTTAGGACCGGAACTGTTTTATAATTTTGGGAATAGTTTGTCTCCTTATTTCAGTTCCAGGAGGGCAGAATCAGCTGTTAAACCATTGTGTAGCTTTAGGTTCTAATCATAACAATGTGCTCCCTCCTTTAACTGGGCTCCTCCTTTGTGTGACTCTCCCCCAAATGATTCCAGGTGATTGGTTAGAGAAAGTTGGCCTGGATGTTCATGATGATCCATCTCCACCTCCTCCTGTGCAGCCAGAAAAGTGAGTGTTGTTCAGGTTTTCTGTGTGTTTAACTCGCTTAATAGATTATTGAAGTCATTAGTTTACACTGAAGACTAAAGCCAGCCTTTGATCTTTCACAGAACCCCTGAACTGACGTTCGACCTTCCCAGCGAATCCCTTGACGCCCTGTTCAGTGCTCGTCTTCTGGGAAACGAAACTCCAGAACTGAATGGAGTTAAGGAGTTTCTGGACACACCGGAGCACGAACGTGAGGAGGGCCAGGCCCGAGTCGAGGAGGCGTCGTCTGCTGCGGATCGTCGGTCCAGGTCATCGACGGCGGTCGAGGAAGTCGCTCTGAGTCGGGGTCCTAAAGACTCTAAGGTCCTTACTGTGCCTCCCGCAGTCATCAGGAAGACAGTGGAGGAGCTCGTCAAGCGGCTGGAGTCTTCATTTAACTTTAGGGTCCCTGTGATTTCTCTCTATGAGCGTCTGGTGGGTCGTCTGGTGGAGGAACTAGAGACCCTGTCCCAGATAAGAATTACCCACCAGGTCCTCGGTGGGCGGCTCTTCCCTGATGAGAACGGAGCCGTTTCTCAGATTGTCAACGAGGCATACAAAAGCCTTTTGAACGAGCGCCTGATGAAGGGAGCGTCTTGTGTCGACCAGTGGACGATCGATTACGTCGCTAATGTCATCCTGACCGTGTTGGTTGACTACGCTCTGGGATGTTTTCATGTCTCTAGTTCTTCCCCAGACACTGACGCTGCTGAGGAGGCCTCACAGGGGTTGGAGTTGACTGAAGTTCAGGAGGACTCAGATCAGCAGTCAAGAACCAACGAGTCCAGAAGAAGGAGCGAGAGTGCAGCTTCAGGAAATCTGAGCGCCTGGTCCTGCAGCACCGTCCTCAGTGAACCGGGTCTATCATCATTCGAGGACCTGATCCGAGAATGTGGTGGATCTCCTGACCTGAGTGATCTGAGCGATGAGTGCTCTGAGATCTTCACCGGCTATCAGAACTACCGAAGGTACGGCCACGTAAAGAGACCCGGCACGTACCTGGTGGAGTGCGCTGAGTCCCCCCTGGAAGGTTCCCCTGATTTGTCCAGCTCCATCCCTGCTGTTCAGGTAAACAGACTGAACTGGTTCTCTGTTTCCTCCTAATGTAACGCTCAGTCTCTCATGTTGGGTTCCTCACTTAATGTCATTTAACTGTGATGTGATTTCCAGGTGACTGAGGTCTCTGAGGACTCTGAGGTGGAGAATAACGAAGACTTGGAGACTCCTGCCTGCCCTGATGGTGAGTGACTCAATCTCTGTTGAGGTCTCATAATGTTCTGTGTTTAAGGTGGTCCAGATTCTCCCAGTGCTTGGAACTGATATCCTCCTCCTTCTGTCTCTGTCTGTAGGTACTGAGGACGACACCACATCCAGAAAAACGAAGAAGCGGCGGCTCCGTTCTCGTGTCTTCAACTTCCTGAGAAGAGTCTTCTGCTTCGGATGCGTCCCATCTCGGCGTGTGGAGCCCCTCTAGTGTCCTGATTCTTCATCCCGTCCTCAGAAAAACACCCTTTTCCTCATTAAAAATCATAAACATATGATCCTTTTTCCCTCTCGCATTTTTGAATATGCTGTGTTCTGAAATAAGTCTCAGAAATTTGAGCTCCATTTGATGAAAGAAGTCCTAAAATTGGAGAAATGAAATAACTTTAACTGTAAATCGTTTTGTTCAGCCATTAAAAAGGAAATTTCCAGCTATTTTTCAAAGTTCCTGCACTATTAAATCATTAACATGTAAACAGTCATTTAGAGTGGTTTGACATGAATTGTTCACCCACCAAAAAATACAGTTATAAGCATTACATACACAAACTCAGAGGACACTTGAAGGTTTGCTGGGTATTTCTGGATATTAACTTCAACTGTGGCGTTTTTCAAAGTCACTGCGGCTCCTTGTTGTATTTTAATGCTCTAAATGTGTGAGATATCAAATGTAGAGGTTCATATTATTAATTAATATAATTAACATATTAATTAATGAGCAGTGTTTGTGTCTGGGGATGTTTTTCTCTTCACTGTGACTGGAGTGGGAGTAACCAAACTGCTGAATACGCTCATATACGAAGTACAAAAGAGTGCCCTATGTGAAATAACAGCTGTTAGTGTGATAGAGTGTCTGTTTTCTCTCTCTTCTATGTACAGTGGAGTCCAAACGTCGTTCAACTACTGTTCAAAGTTTATTTTCTAAAATAAAAGTCTGTGTGCGTTTAAAATCTGTTTGAGGAGATTAAAAACTAGTCAGAGCTTGTATGCAGGACGGTAATCTGGGTGGTCCAAGAGTGGACGAGCAGTGGCAAACAGTCAGTGGGGTGCCGACCTTATCAAGCCAGCGGACCCATGTATGCTCGCTATATGGGGCATCATGGGGTGCAGGAATAGGATGGATAGTAACTGTATAAACTGCACAGTAACAAGTAGCTGATTGTATGCCATCCCATTATTATGTTTACCGACTGTTTAATTTTTCCTCCTTAATTAATATTTAAACTATATATCATGTTTTATATCATACTGTGAAAACGTCTTGTTTTATTATGCTCTGTAAGTATTGTGATGTTATGTTTCTGCCATATTATCCACTCTTAGTCACCTGTTTGGTGTAACTCGGATCACAGAAGTCCTGCAGGACCCCCAAACAGGCCACGCAGATCTCCGACTGGACTTCAGGCTCAGTGTGCGCTGCAGAAGTCTCTGAGCTGCCGTCCTGTCCGACCTGCGCCGAGTCCAGCTTCAGCTTCTTACAGGGCGGATCTTCAGTCTGCGTTTGCTCCGAGGCATCCTGGGATGGCTCACCGTCAGCCTCACTGAGGAAAGCTAACAGCTCTTTGTTTATGTCCTAACAGGAGAGAGAAAAACACATACAAATAAACGCTGCTGGACTTTTTAAACACCTCAGTGTCGCTGCTGGACTGAGAATAGTCCACCAACCAAAAATATCCAGCCAACAGCGTCCTGTGGGCAGCGTCCTGTGACCACTGATGAAGGACTAGAGGATGACCAACACAGACTGTGCAGCAGCAGATGAGCTATCGTCTCTGACTTTACATCTACAAGGTGGACTGACAAGGTAGGGGTGTCTAATAGAGTGGACAGTGAGTGGACACAGTGTTTAAAAACTCCAGCAACACTGCTGTGTCTGATCCACTCATACCAGCACAACACACACTAACACACCACCACCACATCAGTGTTACTGCAGTGCTGAGAATGATCCACCACCCAAATAGTACCTGCTCTGTGAGGGTCCATGGGGGTCCTGACCACTGAAGAACAGGGTAAAAGGGGGCTAACAAAGTATGCAGAGAACCAGATGGACTCCAGTCTGTAACTGTAGAACTACAAAGTGCACCTAAGACATGTCTATAGACACGGATCTTAAGATGTCTTGGCAATAATAACATCCCAAGATGTCTCAAGATGTAGGATGCATAATACGTATTTTTAAATTTCACCTACATTTTTTTTTTTTTTAAATAAATCTTTTACTTTTAAATATTTTTATGGGAATTTTAAAACGTAACATTATTTATAGCAAAAAAAATCTAGTGATTAAATTTTTTTTCATTATTTAATTTTTTTGTTCTATGTAGGATGCATAATGGTATCACTTATTTTAATATATATATTGTATATTATTTTATAAACATACAAACATTACATACATTAGTACATACTACATTTATAAATTTCAGAACAAATTAAACAACAAAAGTAATAATAATAATAATCATAAATAATAATAATAATAATAATAATAATAGGCACATGGTTCCCAGTCTGTAATTTTCTCTACAATAAGCCATTTTATATGAAACCACTAAATGACTTTGTTTACAACGCAAGGACAGAATCAAGTGTACAAAAAAGTGGAATTTGCCTTTAAATGTTTCTGTTGCATTAGAAAATCTTATGGAATCAGTGAAAATCTATTTGTGAGTTCAGACCATGCCTTCAACATGGTGGTAGTATGAGGGAAGACTCTTATGCAACTATTTTGTAATATTTTGTAACTATTCAGTTCTTTTAAATACCTTTTTTATAGTAATTAAACCTTAACGTTTTTAAAATGTGTTAAAGATACATTTTTTTACAATTCCTATTTTACAGTTGCTTCATTTTTTAATGAAGGTATCATTTTATCAACTTTTAAAATAATAATAAGAAGGAGAACAATAATAAGTATGCATAAATTACAGTAACGTAATTTAGAGGGGTATGGAAAATCACTATTTTACGGATTTGTATTTCCGTGTTAATCTGTTAAAAGTTCAGAATACTTCTACATATTTAAATAATTTACTCTGCAATCCAAAGCACAGCCCATGAAAAAGCAGCCACATAGCTTTCAAAAAATATAATTACAGTTATTGTTTATTGTTTTTACATCTGTGTATATGCACAGTACAATAGCGTCATCACACTTGATTTGTTCTACAGACGGAGAAAAACATGTTAACTGACTTTGTGTAGAAATTTGAAATATACTGCAATAAATACACAGTTCCACAAACCAGTGAATCTGATTTTAAGGTCTGCTGTTATTCCGTATATAAGTTATGCTAAAGTTATTACTATGAACAATTATAAATGATGGGAAACAATTTTAAGACAAATTCATATGGACTAAAAAGAAAAACTGACCAACAGAGTAATACAGAGGTCTGAACCCCAGCAGCATTCATAACATACCTGAGCCAGATAATGATCAGCTGTCAAACACTTAATACCAGACTCAGATGTGCTGGGAGCTGGAATAGAGCCAAGCTGTGGACATTTTATGTGGACATATGTGGACACAGGAAACAGGACACATATAACTCAGCGTGCATATGTCCATGCCGTAATGCCTGAACACTAACATTACTGATATCACACTGCTAATGTTACTGATCTCTCCTTTCAGAGTTAAATCCATGATGAGTGAGAGAGCTGTCAGATTCACAGCTCATCGCTTCTTCCTCTGTTTTTTCTCAGTGTTGGTCTCCTTTGTCAGAGATATGAGGAAAATGCATCTGTTAAAAAATCAATTTTAAGACAATAAATTTGAAATTACTTTTGGATCTGCGTTCACAAGCAGGCTGAATTTAAAGCGGACCTATTATGCTAATTTCCAATGTTCATAAATTTATTTTTGGGGTCGACTATAATACATTTACATGCTTCAGTGTTCCAGAAACACATTATTTTTCTCATACTGTAATTGTTTACCCACCCTCTGTCTGAAACGCTCTGTTAGAGCTCCTGTGTCTTTAAGCCCCTCCTTCCTGATGAGCCCAGTACGCTCAGATTAGTTAGCTCGCTCACTTGGCTCTGACTGATCAAGTGCCAGAGTGGTTCCGCCAATACACGGCCTCCGGTAGATGCGTTGCGTTGTGTGGGGGCGTGCCAAGCTCGCTGGTAGGTGGGCAATAAGGATTGTGTTATGGGATTACATCATCTTGTAACAAAGGAAAAGGGCTGGGGAACTCCAGCCCTCAGGCAGCTGAGAAAAGTGGTTTCTGTGGGAAAGAGTTTCTCCCTCTTATACTTTCAGCTTTGTATCTTACACACACAAAAGTTACATAACACAGTAATTAAAAGGGAAAGCATTATATATTCCCTTTATAAGTAGAACATAATGTACAGTATACATACGTTTACTCATCTAAAATCAACTCAGGCATTTAGTACACAAAGAAATGTGACAAGGCTTTAAATAATACCTATGCATGAACTCCAGCGTGGCACCCAGCTCACACGCATAGCTGATGTTCAGACAATGATGTTCAGTGTAATGAAAGAAGCATCAGGATGAGGCCACTTGGGCACCATACTGGATGAGGCCCAAAGAGAGGATGTTCCTTTGGAAGGATTGAAAACAACAAAGTTGATTAGATAATTCACAATTCTATTGTTTTCATCCTCTAACATGCCAAAGTCAACACGTGACAGAAATGATCATTTGCAGTTGAGGCAGGTGTGAGCTTAGTACTGATATCTGTATCTGTTAAAAGCTGTGTTAAAGGAGAATTACACGATTTTTAAGCACAATTTCATCATTAAGATGCAAAAAAATAGTTTGATACAAAATGTTCCACTGTGGAAAAACTTACAGAGTCAGAGTTGTTCATAGTGGCAGTGACAAGAACCAGACGTTTGAAGAGTTCAATGCCTCTAATCTCTCACAGAGAATTATGACATGAAATGATTATTAATAAGAGCTGAACTCTATTAGATCATGTTTACCACATGCTTTATGCTATAAATTGTAGGGCTCTGAGACTTGCAGTATTACACATCAAAGCACTGTGAAGAAGTAAAATCATACATATTGATACAGTGTTGGTGATATTGCCATATTGATATTTTGAACACAGCTGTAATGGCAAATAACATATTAATAATTGAATGAATAAAGCGCAGATATTTGAGTACTCTAATCCAGCTTTACCTAAACATTCTGCTCTTCTGTATTACCATAAATACTTCATGAAATATATTTGTTTGAAACACCAAATCTAAACATCCATCTGACATTCATATAGTTTTATTTAAAAAAATTAAAACTTGAGTTTCACCAGTTGCTCAGCTTCAGATGATTTCTGATGAGAAACATCTAAAACAAAACAGACACATGAGGTAAAGGCAGCAAAACAATAATAACAGCAAAGCATAACAATGAAAAACACAAAACAAACTGGTCATTATATATTACTAATAAATGTAGCCGAGTAAAATTTAAAATACTCTAGAAAGTACAAATCCACCCAGAAGTTACTAGAGTAAATGTAACTGAGCATGCAAATGTAACTACCCTCTCTGAGCTACACAGACTGACGGACGGTGTTCAGTCTCACTGTTGTGTTGATCAGTGCGCTGACCCTGCTGCGCTGTGTTCAGTCTTAGGTTTCACTCTGAGGCAGTCTTTCATTTGGAGCGCGTGCTAAGCGACACCTGACGCAGCCGCGAGGCGTAAACAGACACGCCGCTTAGCCGCTAGTTAGCTAACTACATACGCTACCCTACCGCTGGTGTCTTCACTCGGCAGATCGACCAGAAATACAGAAATAAAATGTTTACTCCAGCTGACTGTTAGTGAGGCTGCTCATCTCATTTGTCACT